AGCGTTACGGAGAACCCTGTTGATGAGCATACGCTCATTAACGTGTTCAACTACGGCCTTGTGGATGGGCCGGTGAAGACCTACATGTTCCGAGAGGATTTCCATACGCTGGAAAGGGCGATAGCGTATGCGGAACAAGAGTACTTCAGCCTGAGACAGTCTCAGGCTAACTCGTTCAACTATCGTCCGACGAGGCGACAAGAAACCGGAGGTCCCGAACCAATGGACCTCTGTTACATCGAGAGCGAGAACTCTCGCTCTCTGAGTCACAAGCGAACGGCAAGATGCCACCGCTGTCAGAAGATCGGACACTACGGTCATGAGTGTAGTGTTCCGAGCACCGCAACACGTCGAAAGACAGGACGTGATGACCGCCGTTGGCCAATGAAGGGTCCAAGGCGTGGGTCCGACCATATCGCTAAGTCGCGACAGAGAGTTGGACCGTCAAATAACGGACAGGGTCAGTAGGGGCGGAGCACCCTGCTGATCCAGCAACGTCAAGAGAATTTGCAGGACTCTTGACGAAGATTGCTCCTTAAACGCAGTCTCTGTTTGTTACTGCCCTTAGTGATGAGGAGTCTCTCATCACTTTGAAGACCAAAGTGACAAGTAGAATGACACTTCGCGCCCGAGTTGACTGTGGTGCGTCGAACAGTTTCATTCGACGCTAGTCGCTAAGGAATAGTAGTCTAAACTATGTTGAGCGAGAGTTCCCTCCAACAAGGATGACCGTGTGACTTACTACAGGCGCATCCGTAACAGTGGACAAACGTGTAGTGGGAATCCACTACACACTAGAAGGATAACAATACGATGATGACTTCATCGTACTGAATCTAGATGACAAATTTGATTTAATCATCGGTCTGCCGTGGCTCAGAAAATGCCAGCCACTGATCAGCTAGGAGCATCGATCCGTAGAGATGCCGACCGTTAGTTCATATCTTTCCATCTGATGAATGTCTTGAAGCGTCCACAGGCGTGTGGATATACTGCGTGTGACTGCGATGGCCTCACTTGTGGTTCGATCGTTAGTACGACTGCAAACGATCACAGTGTAGAAGGCCACTCCACTGTGGAACCAGCTTCCAGCAATCGTGTAAAGACACAGGCTTTGCCGATGGTTCACCACTCGAAAGGTCGAGTGGATTGGGACATGGATGCTCGCCAAGAAGGGTGCATATAGGAAGAGAAGTGAGTGTTGTTCAGGATGAACAACACGCTACAGCAATATCGAATATCATCGAGTCGAGCGTAGATCAAGCCCGTTTAACTGAAAGAGAGTCGATCGAAGAGGACGTGACTGTGGTTGTACACTCACAGTCATTACACGTGTTAAAATATAGTCCAGCGTTCCTAAGAGTGATAAGTCCCAAGAGAGTTATGTTGAGGGTTTGTTTTCCCAAACACCTGCGGGTGTGTTTTCCCAGAAAAGCACCGAGACAGTTAATGTCTTGGTGAATGACGGATCAAGTGTAGGCGCTTATACACTTGATCTGGTGACGCCCCCGAAGTCAGCTTCGGAGGTAATCAAGTTGCCAACCCTAGAATTTAAATTGTTTTTGTGAGATCTGCGTAGTGACAAGATCAAGCAGATCTGCGTTCTTGTCATAGAGGACGAGTACGTCGCCGATATTCGGTCGGCACAAGTGTTTACTGAGAGCAAACGGGTTCTCAGTAGCTCATCGATGGACGGGAGCGTCCTCGATGAGAAGGTCCGGATTGATCGATACACGTCTCAATCTTGGGAGTCTTTGAAGAAAAATCCTTTGTATAAGGATTTGGTGGAATTCAAGGATGTACTCCCGGAATCCGTGCCATGCGAGCTGCCCAAAGACAAAGGCACCCGGCATGAGATCGAACTGAAACCCAGTTCGAATTACTGTGTCATGAAGCAGTGGCCACTGCCTCGTGAACAAGTCACAGCGATCGACAAATTATTTGCCTATCGCTTAGCGGCTGGTCATGCGAGGGAATCAACATCCCCACACAGCTCTCCGACTTTCTGGTGTGCGAAAGGCCACAGGAGGGTGGCGGATAGTACACGCGGTCAACTAATTGAATGCTGCTACGGTACCGGCTCAAACGGCGATCCCAAGGAAGGACGCCATCATAGATGGTACGGAAGAAAGTACCATATTTTCGTCCATGGATCTGATAGATGGATTCTATCAGATCCTCGTGCGTGAGTGGGAGATTCCGTACACGACAGTGAGCACCCCATTGATATGCTCTGTGAGTGGCTAGTGATGCCACAGGGGCTAAGTAACGCCCCTGCAACGTTCAACAGATGGGTTACAAATCTGTCGCGATCTGTGCGCGATTTCGTATTGAGTTACTTCGACGATGTCTTCGTCCATAGCCGGACAATGGGAGGAAAGACGGACGTGGAGGTTCGTAGAATCCACGTCCAGAAGGTTCTTACTCTAATGCGAGATTATAAGTTGTTCGCGAACCTCAAGAAGTGTACATTCGCAGCAAACGAATAACCACTTCTTGGCTGCATCGTGGGTAAAAACGGTGTACGCCCTGATCCGGAAAAGATCAAGGCGATTAGGGACTGGCCTGTGCCAGTCGACGACACGGGACTTCGAAAGTTCCTTGGCTTGGCAGCGTGCTTGCACAAATACTCGCGCAACTATGCCGAGGTGACCGTACATCTCTCTCGTCTGCTAAAGAAAAACGAGAGGTGGTCATGGAGCGCTGAGTGTCAGCAATCTTTTAAGGCATCAAGAAAAGCTTGGTGCAATCGCCTGTGTTATCGATTGCAGACCATGACAGACCATTCCATGTGGTCTGTGATACTAGCGATTTTGTAATCGGCTGCGCGTTGATGCAGTACGACCCAGACGGCGTGGAGCGCGTCTTCTGTTATCAATCGCGTCAGCTGCAAGCAGCTGAGCGAGTTAATTTGGTTGATGAAAAGGGACTCCTCTCCACGAAATATGCACTGGCTAAGTTTCGGTTATGTCTCTTAGGATATAGGCCCTTCATCGTTTCTACCGACCATGCGTTATAATGCACGGCCGTGAATAGTCCACAACTCTCGCAACGAATGGCGAGGTGGCTGTCTTTTTTTGCGGAGCACAACTTCTCCGTCGAGTAAAAACCAGGACGGAATAATGTCGTCGCTGATGCTCTTTCGCGTCGGCCCGATTTCGAGCTGACTGCGCACCCAACAGTAGGGGCGATCCCACTGTCGCGACACTAACAGTGAGTGTTCCGTCGTCGAAGCTACTCGATGACGTGCGAAAAGCATATACAGAAGATGAGTCTCTTCTGCGGTTGATGGATCACGTATCCAATCCGTGTGATCAAGCTTTGAAAATCTTGTCGTCTCAATACCGCTCTTCAACCGAACGGTATTCGGTCCGTGATGGGCTGCTGTACTATACAGCAGTCAACGGCGACACACCTCGTGTCGTCGTTCCGGCTCATAATGATGTGCGATTGCGCATCATATATAAGTGTCGCGATGCCCCAACAAGTGGGCATCGCGGGAAAGAAAAGACTTACCTCACGGTAAGTCGTGACTTCTATTGGCCCCGCCAGTATGAGTTTGTGTGCAAATACATTCGCGCTTGCGAAGTTTGTCAACGTGTAAAGCCTAGTCCTTCATACCGAGCATCATTGCAGCCTCTACCAATTCCGGCAGAGTGCTAGCAACCCGTATCGATGGACTTCGTCTTTGGTTTTCCCAAAAACGCTCACAAAAATACTGGTATTCTTGTGTTTTTGTTGATCAATTCAGCAAGATGGTACATCTTGTTTCTGTACCGGATTCAATCACATCCCAAGGCTGTGCTCGTGTCTTCATCGATACTATCCTTCGACTTCACGGGTTATCCCGTGAACTCGTGTCCGATTGGGACCCCACTTCACAGCGGAGTTCTGGCAATCTGTGTTCCGTTCACTTGGAATGCATTTGAAGATGTCAACTTCTGACCATCCAGAAAAAGGTGGTCGGACGGAACGCGTCAACCGCGTCCTCGAAGACACAATTCGAGGGTATGTCCACTCGTTTACGAGCTGGAGTGAATTCTTGACGATGGCAGAATTCGCCATCATCAGCTTAGGACAGGTGTCGACAACGCATACACCGTTCATCGTGAATGGCGTACGCCATCCACGTTTGTCCGACTTCTTAGAGTGTGACTCTAGTTCAAGGGGGGGGTGGACTAGCTCGAACAAAAACCGATCTGGTTCTTGCTCATGACCCGCCGACAATGGTGTCGACGTGATGGATGCCGATGTCGATGGGATCGACATCGATGATTATGATGACGACGATTCTGGCATATTCAGCATCGCCAATGACTGCCACAGTGAGGACGATGACACCCTCACTGGTGAAGACAACGTTCTTTCAGCAGTGCACACGAAGCGCACGGCTGTTGACAAGGATGAATCAGCAGAGGAATTTATGCTGACTCGCGAAGCGGTTGTCCGCTTCGTTCAAGACTCTATCGCAGATGCATTGGACAGACAGAAGAGAAATGCAGACAAACACGGAAGAGCAAATGCTCTTTCGTTTAATGAAAGAGACTTAGTTTTACTGTCAGTAGTAAAACTACCAAAACTCGCAGTGACAAACGTGGGCAGCAGCAAACGAATGCCCCAGTACATCGTTCCATTTCGTGTGTTGCGCCGAATGGGCAACGCTTACACGATTGAACTTCCCCGTAAGATGCGCACGCATCCTACGTTTTACGTTGGATGTCTCCGCCCGTACCATTAGTACGAGCCCATTTCGAGAGGCGAAGATCACCTCTGCGGTCAAGGGCCGAGACAACCTTCGAGTGGTCCCGTTTCAACGAGCCAGTCTGGCCTACTAGCGAAGCGACCTGCTCAAATAGTTAAGTGATGTCCTTACGAGCTGCAGTCAGCTCTTCACGAAGAGAACGAGTCGAACGTTTGTGCTCAAGCTGCGCAAACGCAAACGCGGCACGATCTTCCGAAAGATCGTGCGTTAAGAAAATTTAGTTATCCTTTACAATGTCATGAAGCTCTCAACGCCAAGTCCGTTCATGAGTCAGGTCGTTGTGTAACTCATCGGTTACACGGTTCAGTTCCTGAACATCAAGCTGATCCGACCCTCGAGCCGTATCAGGTGTTCCCGCCACCGCCACATGCTTTAGTGGATTCTCGCGGTGGTCAACGCTTTCTGGTGGAGCGTATCTTGAACCACTACGACGTGAAAGGCGTCCGGACGAGTTACCTCGTCCGCTGGCGTGGCTATCCACCGGCGTGGGACAGCTTGGAGCCTCGTGCCCAGCTGATTGTTGATTTCCTTGGTCTCGTCGAGCAGTACGACGAGACCCACCCGCTGCGTTTGAAGAAGGGCCGTCGGAAAACGACCTCCCCGAACGCGAGTACAGGGATTGCAAAGTGTCAATCCCTTCGGCCATCTCAGAAGAGATGCACGCCCTCCAGTAGAGATCATTAGGGAGGTAGGCCTCCCTAGCGGCACAGTTTGAGTTGTCCAGGCAACCTAGACACGAATCACCCCACGAGAGACAGGGTAATCTTGCCTCTCTTGACAGCCGGTGCAACTTGTATCGTACCCCAACTGGGTTACTTTTCTAAAACCTGATGCGAGCTGCGCCAATTTTATCGTTCCACAAGTCAATACACTCGATGTTATGGATGAAGGCATTCCATTCTTGCGCCAAGGCCTTGTCGGGTCAACGACGTTTGCCATTGTACTACCGATGTTTAAAAACAGGTCGGTGAAGAGATATTTCTTAGCACGAATAGTTTCCGTGCTGGAATTAGGAGGCACATTCTCCTACAGCCGAACAACGGGATCCTATCCCGTTCTGTGGTCATACCGGCTAAACGATCTAACTCCGTGGATGATGGCATCCAGTGAGAATCTATTTGAGGATCATGGCGCGGGACATTGCGACCTCTGGTCTCTTGAGTGGTGTCAGCATGATCACTGACAGCAGTGGCAGCTCGACCCCTCGAGTTACTTCTCACGTGGTGACGCATAGGTGCACCACTACGCTTCCAACTGCCAAATGGACTTGCGTGGGACGATTATTCGTCAGATGAATCGCCCGGTCCAAAGATCTAGGACATGATGCCGCCACGTTCCTCAGAGCCAGTCAATTTGGATCTTGTAGTATCCGCCTTGGATGATCCGTAGTAAGGATGCGCCGCCTTTGATTCGGATGGATCATCCGACTCGCCAGAATTAATGAACTCTATTTCAGCTCATTCGCATTGCAAGTCTCAGCATCTGCTGCAAACGCAGCGGATGAATTTGTCGCACGTGGTGACTCACCACATAGACTATTCACAACAGGCAATGCCTGTTGCTGAATTGTAACATCAGGCGAATGACCACCTGCTGCTGAGGTGTGAGAAGCACTTTGGCTGCACGCACGCGTGCAACAAACTTTCTGGCTGCTTCGGCAGCACACCGCATGAACTTTGATACCATGCGATAATTTGGCAAATGAGTTGGAATTTGACCATCAAGTGCTCTCGTTCCCAGAGTGATCCAACGGTGGTCACGCTGTCCCATTACATTTAATTTTATCAACGGGTGATTGATGGTTAAGGGGGGAGTGATGTAACAAGTAAGCTCATTACATGATATTGACACCAAACGGTGTCAATTGGGAGATTGTCTAGCGTGACAATTTCTGCCAATATTATCCAAGATGGATAATATTGAAGGGACATTATCCCCTTCAGAATAATGTTCATTCGCTGCTCAAAGATTGGTTGACAAGACATATCAAGATTACCACCAATCGCTGCTAGACGCGCGTATTGAGTGGCGAGCAGGTTGTCGTCATAGGACGACGCACTTTAATATAGTTAGATAAAGAATGAAGTTATATCGATAGCTCGACTATATTAAATACAGTTCTCTTTATTCCTCTGACTTGAACGAGTCGTTTTAGTAGATTTGCATCCTCTGCACGTACTAGTGTACGTGAAGTTTCATGGCACCAAAAACCAAGGGTGTCCCGTTACAGTTGATACCTCTTAAAGTACGTGACGGTGTGTTTACTGTAGATGCACCAACAGTGATGCCTCATCTACCTTCTTGAGGTCAACTTGAGGATCTAACTGGTCCATGATGACTTAATACGTCAGAAGTAGCCACTCAGCGTACCTTAAAGAATCCGCTGAGACGAAATCTTGTTCTCTTGATACCTGATTTTTCGTCAGTCACGTACCTATCTTGTTATCGTCATGTAATATTAACGTGTGGGTAATGACGCTGGTTACCTTTATTAATTGTCGGTGCTCTATCTCCCGGGTCATAATTGTGACCCATCGCTCTCCTCTTGTGACCCACTTTTCTCCGTGTTATGAGGTCAACGTTTTAAGAGGTATCGACATAAATTTATCAGCAATCATACGGGTATATTGTCCCTGAGCCAAGTCTAAAACTCCGTTATCGTAGAAGGTCCTCCGTCTGGGGAGATGTATTCGAACTTTTTAGGGAGACAGAGTGTTCCATCTGCCAGGTCTAGCCGGATACTAGCCGGGATTATAAAGATATCTCCCAATATCCCAGCTGAAGCACCATGGAGTCAAATACGCCTTAAAAACAAACACTAACTTTCCTTTCATGGTGACCTTGATTCGAGTGAGCCCTTCTGTAGAGTAAACGGATTCTACAATGCCAATACACTTTTGTATTTCCCTTACTTCAATTTGGCAAACTAACTACTGATCAAAGGTGATATACAACTTGAACAACTCGGCGATAGTATCGAACAACCAATTTGGACAATCGTTGTAGGTCTTCCAGAGGCTTTAGCTTGTCTAAACCAAATCTTGGGGCATAATGTTTCCAGTACCCTCTAAATTCTCAAGGTAGGAGGTCCAATTATATCACTGCATTTTGTCGGGCAATCTTATTAGGTCCATTCAGAGAGACAACATGGACCATAGGGTATTTTAAAATCTTCGACGCATAATCGGTCTTGACGGAGAAAAAATTTCTCTCCTCCTTGAGATGATTGACCGCATACGCAAAGACACAAAGACTAGAAAGATCAGCTTGTAACCGATAGAAATCTGCCGAAAGCTCGAAATTTCATCGTCTCAGCCTTCTCCGGCAACAATTCAGCGGGCTTGGTGGGGTCGTACCATTGATGGAACAGTCCTCTTACTGGCACTTCCCCATTTTATGGGTCTCTCTGCGTCCCAGACACATAAACAAGTGTGGTGCACTGCTTCTGATAGGATAATGGACATAGCGGCCATCACGACGAAAGGACACGAGAACAGCGTCGGGTAAAGGTTGCCTGAGAAAGAAGGGGCCACAAAAGTGGTTGTACCCTCAGGGAAGAAGGAACGCAGGACCAATCAGGGATTATACCGTTGCCCGGGCATCGCTTAAAATGTACTGAAACAAGTAGACAGCTTCCACCAATATAGGACCTGGACCACCAATGGTGAAACAGTTTCCTCATCGGTAGACCTCGGTTCCTCATAAGTAGATCTTGGTCTCTCGTAGGTGGACTTTGGTTCCTAATCGGTAAACCTTAATCCCTCATTGGGTGGTCTTGGTCCCTCATTGAGTGACCTCGTTCCCTCATCGGTAGACCGATGTCCTTCAAGATTCTGCTGCTACTGAACAGTCACATAAAGAGCTAGACCACAAGGCAAGGATAGAGTAGAGAAGATAATGGATATGAAGGTATTGAATACTGCTTAATGTTTGATCCCCGTGGCACGTATTCGTCGTGCTTAGAAAGGAACTTTGTAAGTCTTCCTGCCTGTTCCGGGGAAGGGGTATACTTTGCCCTCTGTTGTCGACAGTTGCGAGGTAAGACTCAAGTGCAGACAGAAACCCGGTAAGTGTTTGGCCTGTGTGTTCGTCGAGTTGTAACCCCCCCCCTCAATACCCGCTATCGAAAGCGGCTTCCCTACTACGCGGTGAGGGAGCAAAGAAAAGTCCAGGAGGTTAAGACCCCTATGACAACAAGAGAAGTCTTGGAGCGACCAGCTACCTGAAAAACGTGGTTGTAGGTTCACTCTCGACTAAGTCTATTGAGTGGCCACCAACTGTCCCACACAATGAAGCATATCCACTTAAGGCCTCAGGTCAACCTCTCCCACGACGAAAGCAATTTCCTTTCCGTCCGAGTCTAGCATTTAGTGCAATCTCCAGCCATCGGGTACAAAAGGCGAGACAAGGTACATACGCAAAATCGGGGTTCCCCCCCCCGTAATCGGGTAGCCTGGCAAAGTGAGCGATTTGGGGGCCCAACACGCAGTTTTGAGAACCCACTCCACCACACAAGCAGCTATCTGATGGAAGCCCCTTCTTCTAACAGCGATTACAGGTTATCATCATTCAGCATCAAAAGTCTCCAAGTTTCCTGGACCCGCAAATGAGCGCATCTCACGTTTGCCTCGGTCGACGTTTTGTGGGTCCCCGGATCTCTGCCTGTTTCCGATGCTGATCGACCTCTCTGGTCGGTCAGTACCTCATAATTCTTGCATTTGGGTCTTTTCCTGCTTCCGCTATATAGACCTGCCGCAGGGGATTCCTCGTTATCCGAATTATTCAGGCTGGATCCCTCCGAGCTCGACATCTCCGGGGGCGCTCGGACCGCATGTACAGAACGGCGTGGTATCTCTAGGTCGATTAGGAGAGCGGCTCACTGCACAGGTAGCTTCGATACATCGACTTCTCCAATTGCAGTGTGTTGTATACGCTTGTTGGATCATGCTTACGTGAGATGCATGCCGTCAAACTTCAATACGAACTAAAAAATCGTCTTTCGGGCTCAAAACTATGTCGATAGCACTTGTTGACATTGATGTGCTGACGCCTCCGCTGGGCGCAGTCACCGTTATCAGTTATTGCCACCGTATTGGATGATTAGACAAATTGAAAGTAGTGTACGCGGTGTGCCGTTGCTATCATCAGCATACCGCCACTAAAAGTGTCAGGAAAGCACGACATAGCCTATCTTGCCCTTACCTGCTACAATTACGACCTTTATCATAGTAAGAGGACGATTTGGTTTTTACGACCTTTACTACGAATTATCACGGCACTGACAAAATAGTCAACAAATGATCGATCGTCGCTACCACCGCTCCTTGCAGGTCTTCTCCTGGGCAGCGTGTGCCGCCATGACGGCAAAGTTGGTGCTGTTTACTGACTATAGCTCGCGAAGGGGCCACGGCGAGCATGACCACGTCTTCTCGGGGGTACACACCAACCTCTCATATGTTTATAAAACCCTACGAGCACAAGTAGAACTTACATACAACCTGTGTTACGTAGATCCAGAGGTACACAGACAAGCAGCTGGACAGATTCTTTGGCGTCGAAGATATCAAGAAGCAGGCGCAGCTTCTGTATGAACAGCAGCACTGTGACGCGATCCCGTCCAGCCCTGATCCGGACAAGAAAGAGTAAATGACTTGGTGCTCGAGACCTCCCGTGCGACTCGTTTGAAAACTGCAAGAGAGAGCAACTTACTATTGCTTCGTATCTGTGAAACTGTCTCCATTGACCAAGACATAGCTCTCTCTTACCTCGCACAGCTTTCGACATCTCAGCTTATTATCGACACGTTATCCGCTGGGCTTGTCTGGAGTGGCCGCAGTAGGCTTGAACACCGCAAACTGCGGGCGGGCGGGTTTGCGTTGAGTCATAGAAGCGCTCCGGTGCATGCCATATATGCCTGGACGTGCAGGGGGTGCCATCATGGCAGCCAGCGGGTCCTTCTTCATCAGCACACGAGAAGGAGGCGGGGCCATGAGCGCAGCCAGCGGGTCATCAGGCGTGGGACCACTGCTTATCGAGCCAGGGGCAGAGGCTGTGCCTGTCGGTGGCATGCCTGCGGCACTAGATCCAGGAGCACTCCCTAGTAGCGGGCCAGTAGGTGGCGCGGAAGGTATCGAAGCTTCCTCAGTAGCAGTCTCGCCAGGAAACACCCAACGCTTCGCATTCTCGTCAAAATAAGCCTCCATCTGCTCTCCGAGCTTGGCCACCTTGGCTTCTGGATTTATCTTGGTGGCAATGAATGATGACAAACCTGACAGCCATCCCGAGCCCTTTCCACTATTACTGTGTGGTGGCGTTTTGAACCGCCCTGGTGTTTTTGCAACATCGAGCATGGGGCCAGCCTTGCCCTTATCACTAGCAGGCCCACTCATATTGGTAGTACCTGTAGACGAAACTGGAGCCAGATCAGCATGATGTCTCTTGGGCTGACGAGAGGAACGAATGTCGTCCGACGTGCTCAGTGCAGACCGGTTCTGGGACGCTGGCTGTGCATGAGAGCCTTGGTGCGACTTCAGCACAAAAGGAGGTTGCTGCTGTAGGGAGGCACAAGGAGAATCCACAGCGCCGAAATCATTGTTGCTGCGCGTGCTATAGGTGTTCTCAGAGGACTCCATCGACTGCTGTGAGTACATAGGCGGTGCCACACCATGCTTCTGAAGTTCTGGCCCCTTGTTCGAGAATCGCCTTGAGTTTCCGTGGTTATCGGTATTCACTATCGGATCCGACACTGACTGCTGCTGACGCTCATTGCCATTAGATGGACCTGTAGGAGCAAGGTGCCCGATGGTCACCGCATGTGGTGACGGTGCTACTCCCGACCTCGAAGAAGGTTCTACTGCAGGCGGTTCCATGTGAGCTCTTTGATATCCATTCGAGGATCCTGGGGCACTATTTTGGGAAACAGGTGGAGTGGCGTGACCATACAAACCAGCAGATACCGTTGAGCCGGATGAACCTTGCGGGCGATTTGGCTGAGAAGACTGCTGCGGGCGTGTCGGGGTAGGTGGCGAAGTCATAGCGTTCACAGACGGAATACTCGGATAGCTTGCTGCAGGTGGAGAAGCTCCATTCACGAAAAAACCTCCAGATGTTGACGTACTAGGTACCGCGCTAGATGCAGTATCCGATTCAGGACCGTCCACCACGAGATTCACGATCTTGCCCATCATACTCAAAGCACTGCCCAGACCCCACTTGCCTGTTTGCTTCGATCCCCCACCACGGCTGATCGATGCTGCCATCGAAGCTACACGGTCTTGACCGAGGTGTTGGCGCAGCCGGTCATCCAAGATAACCAGCTGATTCTTCATGCCCTCCAGATAAACGGATGTACCAGGCTTCATCGTTGCCGTCATGGCTTTGATCACCGCGAGCATCGATGTTACGTACTTGAACGCCGTGCCGAGCTTTCCGTGATCAGCCAGAAGCATCGCGTAAATAATTTTGTAGCCTTGGAATGGAACCATGAGATTGGCCGACACATTCTTCGACTGCTTCTGGGCCCACTCATAAATCTCTGTACACTGCACTGTACCAGGCGAGACATAGAATCGTGCTTCAGCAGGTGTCCGGTGATCTCCTCCCAGTAACGCCATTTTTGAGCTCGGCGTGGGTGCACCTAGCTGGATGCCAGCAAGCAAGTAGCAACTATGTGCCGCCGAAACTGTGTTGGCTTCACTCCATAATCGATCACCCAGTTCTGTCAGGATCTTATTAGTATCCGCAGTACGGTTCGAGAGGAGAACTTGAGCGTGGGAGACCCAATTCGAAAGGATGAGAGATTCTGTCGGCCGGTGGACGCTGGTCCGTAGAAGAGGCTTTGGCTCCTGTACACTCTTTTCCTGTTGATCTGCGAATGTCAAGAAAAGAGCACGGCATGGATCACCTGCGGTGTAGTGCCCATCCAAGTATGTGCGCAAGACCCGCTGCGTTTGGTGACAGGTGAGTAAGTTAGAACTGATCATCAGCACAAAAATTGCGGTGCGCATACCTTATACATCTCCTTGTCAACAAATGAAGCGATAAGCATGGCTTCCGGCCACATATTTGCAGTCATTGCAGAGGAAACTGCGCCCTTCCTATCACCAGCTAAGAGCAGGTCACGGAGGAAGTTTGTGTTCTTCAGCATAAGATTCGGGTGCTAAAAGCAATAAACGTACGCGTCAGTTCTCATGCTATAGCACACGCAGAACCAAGAACTTACTGTCTTGGACTGGACCTCTTGAAGTTCCGGAAAAGTTGGGGGATTAGATCCATTACGTCGTTTGCTACTTTCGCTAAGCAGCGCAATCAACTGAGCCTCTGGCGTATCAGGCACACCGGGGTTGAGATTTCCTGGCTCAGAGCGCAACTTTCCGTTGCATTTGATCAAGACACGTAGCACACCAAGTAAGACTCGGTCATTCTCGTCCTCAGCCTCGACAGTACTCGGAAGAGCTTCGCTTCGTTTGAGTCGGTCATCAAGATACCTTAATATCTCCTCGACAGACACGTCTTCTGTCAGTGGTCCCGGGAATACGTCCATCTGCCCAAACTCAACGTCGTATGGATGCAGCTGGTTCATACGATACACGTGCACTGGTCCTATGCAACATTTGCTGTCACCTACGTTGTCAAGCTTAGACGGTCTGGACATAAATAGCGATAAAAGAAGAGACATCAAAACAAACCACCAACGTTGCATGCTACAGTCAAAACTCAATCATACGTACATAGGTGCACCCCGAGGACTTTCGTAAACGCTGGTTCCCGCGACACTCAAGCGCAATTTTCGCTTAGGGAACATGGTCACCATGTTGCCACCAAAACCGAATGACGCCAGACACGACGGTGGTGCGACACACGGGTCCTTGTATTCATTGCTGATTTTTATGGCAGAAGTCGGGGCAGCCCGAGTTGCTTGCTGGTAGCTTCCATCCGCTGTAGCATTCTCGTATTCGTGTTGACTCGCAGCACCATAGCTTGCCCCTTGTAGTTCATTTTGCACAGCAGAACCCGGATCAGTGTATTCCGTGACGACATGATGCAGTTGGGGCTGTTGCTGCTGTTGATGCGACTGGTACTGTTGTTCCTGTAGCTGCTGCTGCTGCTGAAAAAGTGCATGACCGGCCGCTGTACCATCGCCAGGTGCGCATGACTCAAAGTAGCTGCCTGCAGAGTTGTCTCCAAACGCATGCGCACCAAGATACGAGGAGTGTGAAGAGGAAGCTGCACTATGGCGGATTCGATCTTGCAGCCGTTCTGACGTCTGGCCATAACTCATGTGCTCGAGTCGGTTTGACATCGAGGGAGCTGTCCGCGATGCTGGAGACGCTAGGGTGACAGACAATGCATTACCGCCGACAGAGTGAGAGCCCCAATCACAACGTCTCTCGAGCCCCTGATAGCATTTATCGTCGTCCTTAGCCACCGGGGGCGCCATAGCGGTCATCATACCAACACCCGGCCTTGATCGCGCTTCTACGGCCGGCACGGGCTGCGAGTACTTTGGAGCGATTACGGTAGCATTCTCGAGCTCCCGGTCACTCGGCTGCGCACACTCGCGCTGCTGCACAAAATCCTGGTGTGGTGATGCAAATTGGGATACCACACCCATACTTGACTCATTAATTGTAGACACTTGAGAAAGCGGTATATGCAACTCAGAAGAATCTTTAGATACGCTGCTGTCAGAAAGCAGTGACGCCGCTTCGATACCAGTCCCAGAAGGCACCCCGCCAGCATATGAATTCGCATCTACGGATGCAGAAACCGAGGCACTTTCCTCCCGCAGGTTTTTCTCAGGCCGGAAGGACCGTTCACCCTCGTAGTGACTAATGGAAGAACTGGATGCATAGCGCGATAGACTGGCATCCCCCACCGATTCGTAGGAGGCATTTGCGTCACGTGAGTGCATCGGGGCTTGTATCGCAGTCGAGTATACCGGCAAGCGCGAATGTTGTAGTTCCGCTTGAGACGATGCGTTGCTTCCTTCCCGTACAAACAACTCCTGAACACGGGTTTGCACTAGCGGTTGCTGCTGAGTTGTACCCGATGGTAGGGGTTTCGCACGATCATCACCAACATCGGACACAGACGACGGGCCAATAGACGGATGCCCAAAAAATGCACGTGGAGACGGCCTCGAAAGCTCGCCGACATCAGCAGATCTGCCAATGGCAGCGTCGCTGCCATTATGCGCGCATCTGTTGTGCTGGCGTCCAGCACGTGACGGTGCCGCTTGGCTGCCACTGCCTACCTCTTCCGCCGTGGAGCGATAACTGTACTTGGTTGAAGACCCTGTAGTGCAACTTTGCCCAATCTGTTGACTACCGTGCGATCGAGTAGGTTGGCCGGCGCTGGCAAATGTTGCCGCAGGTTTCTGACTGTAACCGTTTTGTGATGTCAATTGACTAGCGTGGCTCCGTCTACCGAGGCCACAGACTTCACGTTGGCGTGCGTTGTGAGCCGTTAATGACTGGTAATCTGATTGTCGAAGCCCTTCTGAATCATATGCAGTAGCGCTTTCAGCAACCGCTGTATCACCATCGCTCTTTCCATAAGGCCGAGTACGAATCGTGTTGGCTCCAGTACGAGCACCATCGCCTGAGCCTGACTGGTTCTCGTAGTTTAATGCACCCACCAAAGCTTGATCCGAATACGTTGTTGAACAATCACCGTAGCTCTGGTCTGCACTATGCGGCGTGCTAGGTGCGTCGGATTGTTGCCCAAAATGACCATCTACAGATGTAGCATTTCTAGCAGGTCGGCTGTACACAGCATTTGCTGGGGTCTGCAGATCTTCAACAAAGTGTAACGAGGCACGACGGTCGGGATTCGAGCTGTGCCCATAGTCTCCACCACAACTAAACATGCTTTCGGCAGACATTGCCGAGTTATCGAGTCTGTGCTCCAAGCTTCGCGATGCAAATGGATCGAGCCGGTTCTGATCGACAAAGCGTTGGGTGCCGACAGGGCTTACGGAAACGTCTCGATCATGTGTATCCACTGACGTGAATGGACTCTGCACAAAGTCAACTGCTGAGGTCTGGGTGTTGGTGTCAGTACGTGCTCCGTTGCCCGCTTTGTTGTAAGCCTAACACGAATACAATTCCAAATTAGAAGCATGACCGATACACTGGTACTGAGCAAACGCCGAGAGAGAATCGGTCGTACCTGGCCGAACGACTGAGTCAAGCCATATGCGCTTCGTGCCGGTTGAGCAAAAGAGCTTTGAAAACCACTAGAAGGAACGACTGCGCCGAAAAGGTCTCCAGCATCTGAAGTCGGCAGTTCGTGCTCTCCAGTAGGCGTCGCTACAGCCGGAGCAGACGCTTGACCAAAAGAGCCAAACGGGTTCGGGATCTCAGCTCCGGCAGTAGCGCCAAATAGCGAAGCAGCACTCTGAATGTTCTCTTCCAGCACAGTGACTTCCGGCTGGTGGTCAAATCCCGAGCTCCCCAAAGTAGTGACAAGCGGAACGTTTGACGCGCGTTCTGAGGAGGAAAATATACTAGGTGAACTGGTGAATGGATCAACGTCAGCAGGCCCATCATCGCCTCCAAAGTTTGTCGCTGCTGCAGTAGGTGCAGCTTCCCCAAATGGAGCCACCGAGTCAGATTCTGGGGCAGATGACGCATACACTCCCGGCATGCTGCGGTGTTCGATTGCTCCGACGCTCGCGTACTCGCCACCCGACATGCTGAATTCCGTCACAAATCGCGAGTTTGTGTGCACAGATTCACACATGCTTGTTGTTTCAGATGCGTTGCCATCCGAAAACCCTTCGTCACTGGCGTTGTCTGAGCCACCGATCGTCGTCCCAGGGGCCGAGAACTGCCCTTCACTTGCGGACGGAAAATCCGTACCGAAAGCCGTGCTAGCATTAGATGAATTCACCATGCTTGGTGATTCTGAAACGGCCCCATCCGAATAGGCACCACCTTCACTGACTCGTTCCGAACCGCCGAACGTGGCACCAGCAGAAGAAACCCCAAAAGAGGCTATCGAGCTTCCGTCGTGATCAGTGCTTGCGATTGATGACTGATACATACGGTGACTTGCAAAGGAAGACTGTGATCCGCCGTACGTTGAGGACGGTCGTCCTGTCGACAGAAAAAACGATTTTTCACCTGAAAAGGACACGACAGAATCCCGTTCCTCTTCGTCACTCTGTCTGTTGTAATTTTCACGACGAGATCTATCATCGCCTTCATTGGGCTGGTCCTCAGAATTCAATTGGTCGTGCTCACCAGAATGTGATTTCATTCGTACACTTGACTCAGTATATGATTTCGAATTCTCGACCTTTTCTTCAGAAGCAAAGGTTATCGAGTTGTGTACGGCCATGCGCGCAACATTCCCAGACATTTCTTCTGTAAAGAACGATTGACCAGTGCCGTGGGGAGAGGGTACACGTCCGAATGGTCCGCCCGTACCGGTTGGGGTATGGAGAAATCGAGCACTACTACGCGGCGCCTCCGGAAAGACGTTGAGATTGTTGTCATGGTTCATCGACTCGGCAATCGCGCTCGAAAACTGTGAGCGCTCGGTACGTAGCGACAGTTTTGGTTCCACAAATTGGTCACTCTCCGCCGAGTGAACGGCTACTGTAGACTTTTCTTCAACAAAGGCTGTTGAATTGGACTCGACCAAATAAGACATTGTGGGCGCCCGAGTACTCTCCATTAAACGTCCCACCATCTGGTTGTGCTGTTTCGAATGCTTTGGCAAGCTTCGGACATCAAAGGCAGAGCCGGACGAAGGTGATTGCGTTTGACGCGAAAGCGAATATGAGGTATCACGACTGGGTGAGGTGGGCGTAGCCGAATCCCCATAGCTCACACTATCACTAGAGCGCGAAGCTGAATTCACATGCGCGTTTGGATTATCCTCAATCGGCCCGTTCCAATCCTCCTCGACATAGTCGTCGTGGGCAAACAGCTCGTCTTCATCACCGCCTCCCCAAAACTCACCAGCAGCTCCACCGGGACTAGTCAGTTCCACTGGCGGAGTCACATACAAATCCGTCTGACCTGTTGTGGCAGTCAGGGTAGCCGTCGTATGGGGAGGAGAAGAATCCACCGCCGCAACTGGTCTCGACTCAGCGGTCGCAGACTCCTTCTGCTGGTTTCCCCATCCATAGTCCGACTGCTCATCTGGTTGGCACGGCTTGTAAGTAGCGGAGGTTTCAGCAAATGATGTCACCTGTGAAGCTCCAAATAAGCTCGTTTGCTGTGTACCGCTCTGACTCAATATCTCGAATGTGCTCTGTGGTCCCTCCGTGAAAAATGAACTCGGAGACTTTACCGCACGAGGCGGCAAAGTCGCTACCTCAGTCCGTGCATCTTGAGACGGCGGTTTCATTCCACCGGACGGAACTTGGGCACTCGAGACATTGTTCGTACCAAATTCATGCTCGCTCGATGCAGCTGCAGCTTGGTCAGTGACCGATCCAAAGGTCGCTTCTGTACGGCCGCCAGCATGCACTGCATCTAGACCTGAGCGCACTTTTACGGGCTTGGCAACCGACGACGCAGACGCATCGTCACTATCCAACCACGTTACATGGTCGTCCGCATTTGCTGCTGCTGTCGACGCCATTGATCCCAGTTCCGTCTCGTCTGTCGGGTCCGACAGTGCCACTGGCGGCAAGTCGCACTGCCATCCATCGTCACTGAACAACTCTTCCACATCATCCATCGAGAACAGCTGCGTCGGTGCTGCACTTGGTCTGGCCCCACCATCAGATCCAGATGGCAGTGTAGTGGTACTTCCTGAAGTAACGCTAGTGGTCATGGAATCCTCCTCACCCCTGGTGCTTGACGAGCTCGTAAAAGTAGCAGCGTTCACCACGTTCCTGTTGACACTTGACACACTTAACAAACCCACAGCAGACGGGGCAGGCGACGATGGCGCCGCTCTCTGACTTCCTAACCCGCCAATTGTCGGAAGGCGCCATCCAGACGTCGGTGTAGCAGACTCTTTACCTGCTACAGACTTTGGCCGCATTACCGACGTCGTACTATTACTGCTACTATGACTGCGGTTGCTGCTGGTACTGCCCGTGCGGCCACGCGACGTTGTGTCCACGCCCAGCGACGCAAAGAAATCCTGGGGAGCGGCGGATTGCTGGCGCAGCCGTGTGTCGACACGCAAGCGTTCAGTACATAATCCATCTGTATCACGAGAGGCTTCGTTTGGCGTGGAGCTCGTGGCGGAGGAGAAGCCGCGGCCCCCGTCCATCGTCTCGCCGGGTCGCTCGACTGGCACGTTCGATCTGGTTTGATCTTTGAGGGAACGACTCGGGGTTTCCCCGACCATCACTCTCACTTGCGTAAAGTAAGCGACTCAGAAGAGAGGGGCGGAGACTTGACTGAAGTGTCGGTGGCTAAAAAGTAACGCTAATTCGGTCGGTATACGCTTGGTCACGATACGTGCGTGACTTTTAACGGATACGAGCCAACATCGTATACTCGACTTTTTCCACCACTATCCGTCGATCTCTTTACCATTATTGTACCGAGCGTACCCCCAAGCATGGATTCCCACCGTTCGAAGCGAGTATAAACGTTAAAACACCTCATAAACACCACTCACACTGTTTGTGTATGTGTGCACCAAACGAACGTAACCGGATTAAATCCGTCGGCGAAAGAAGTCCAGCTGACGTCGACCTACCGGCGTCTCACCGGTCGCTCCCTGAGCCGTGCAGTGTCGAACAAAAGAACGCGTCGACCGGGAGAAGGCACTTTTCAAACACAATCGACACCGCCATGCCCGTTGAGGTGCAGCGGAAGCTAACTGTCCTGGGGTACCCTGGCGTGGGCAAGTCGTCCCTTACCACGTGTTTCGTCGAGAATCGGTTCGTGGAGAATTACGACCCGACCATTGAAAACACGTTCCACAAGACCATCCGCGTGCGCAACGCCCACTTTGTCACGGACATTGTGGACACGGCAGGCATGGTACGACGAAGCAGTCGGCACCCGTCCCTCGAGTCAGTGGCAATGACATTGACCTTGTGTGGATGCTGTTTGGCAGGACGAGTATGCCAACTTTTCACAGGCGGCGTCTGTTGGCGTCCACGGCTACGTACTCGTGTACTCGATTGGCTTGCGCACGTCGTTTGAGAAGCTCAAGCTGATCAACGAGAAACTGGTGAATATGCTGGGGTCAAAGCCGCCACGCGTGCTTGTAGGTAGCATGTCGGATCTAGAAAAGGCCAGGTACGTTGGTGGAATGAGAAGGGGGGGGTACGTGGGAGTTGTTGCAGGTATTGGATGTGACGGATACGATTGTGGGTTTTGGTTTGCATGTTTTTTTGCAGAGAGGTGACAGTAGAAGAAGGACAGCTGTTGGCGAGCAATTGGGAGTGTCCGTTTGTCGAGTGCTCGGCCAAAGACAACGAGAATATTAGTAGGTGGCGTCGTTTTATGCTGTGTGTGTGTGTTTTTATGTTGGCTACGGCTCCTGTAACGACATGTCGCGGTGGTGTGCAGACGAGGTGTTTACGTATCTAATCAAGGAGATTGAGCGCGATTCTGGGTTGCTGGAGGAGACCGATGAATCGCAGTGCGCGATTTTGTAGATCAGGACCACGGTTGTATGTGCACACGCTGCGGCTATACAGACTTTGCTTCACGGCACAGACCGATTCTGTAATCAGCGAACTTTTGTTGCAGGACAGACGTGGGTAAAGCTTGTGAGGGAGATAGCACCTTGAGAGGGGATGAATGAAGCAGTTTCTGCACCAGCAATTCCGATTGCCATTTAAAAGCGTGCTTTGAAATGACGTTATACTTTAAACCATAGGTTGTTAGCAAGCTACATCGTGTGCACTTCTAGTAAGTCTGCAAAAGCTTCCGACGAACTACCACAACTCGCCTTCCAATGTCGTCGCTTGGCCTTGCTGTTTTTTTATACCGTTCCTTAACACGGACACTGTATAGTCATTCGCAAACGGAAAGCTCCAACAAGGCAGAGAAGACTAGACATCCTTCTGCAAATCGAGCTGTATTCTACGAATACCGGAAACAACACGTGCTGTACACGAACAGAAGTTCACGTGAACCGGACTTGCAGCATTGACCTTGAAAAGACCTTTACGTAACCGATCGTGCTTCACCGGCATTGCTGATTCTGCCCTTATTCAGCGATACGGTCATGACCTCTCTTTTCCCAAGTATTTGTACCAAAGGTCAGCACTCTGAGGTCCGCAGATAAGCTGTAACGTCCTGCCTTTAACCGCTCATTTGTAAATCAACCTGAACTTACTGATGCCTTTGTATTTATGGCTAATAAGCTGAAGAATTTATCGAAAATGTTTTTGCCGCGATTGACGTTTCGCACAGCTGTGTATGCTTAGAAACAAAAGATTAGATAATGAACTTTATAGAATTAGAGAGACCTGGCAGAATCTGTATGCGCTGAACGTTACTGGATGCTGGGGGGGAAATGCTGCCAAGATACTTGACATGAGTCGGTAGAATTGTGATTGGCGAAATGTGGATAGCACAATGATGATAGGGTGACTACTTATGGAATGCATTTGTGTTCTTGGCACCGAAAGCGAATATACGGCACTTCACTTATGACAACCATGACAATAGGTGCCCAAGTTGATCGGCATCTGGATCGGTTTCAAAAGTCATCAATGCCATAATGTATAAACCTCAGCTTCGGTGACGCGCCTGGACGAGGATCATCTTCAAATGCAACGACATTGGTCGGATGTGTAGGTGTCCTACGAGGTGATAGCATACCTGGATATGGAGAAAACGGCTCAGGTGCCTGTCTCATGCGTTGACCACACTTTTAAACGAAAGAGGGAAAGGAGATTGTAATCATACACGAGATGGTGATCGCTATATCTAGTGTAGTCCAAGTTGGTGGTCGCACAGTCAATGCGGCCAAATGCTCGATAAATGTACGTACTTGCACAAATTGGAGAAGATGTTGGAATTAGTCAATCGGAGAGTCTACCTTCATGTGTGGTTAATGAGACACTGTGATGAAGTTACACGGAACTAATATGTAGGAAGATCAGTTTTCTGTTGCTTATGCTCGCTTTCGTGACGACCTACTGCTAACGACATTCACAAAAATCTAGATCAAGATATATCCCATAATTTAGTGCTCTTGCGCAAAAATCTTGTCAGTCTTTATCTCTGACATGGTAAATGCTCGACTAGAAGTTGCAGAGTTCGACATTACAACGTGACTATATTTGACCAACTAATATGCAGTGCATGCGAAGACGTTGAATTGATGGAGATCCGATTATTATTACGTTTGAATTAGACTACCTGACTATACATTTGCGATTAAGCTTGATTATCGTAGGAACAAACGTTGGAAGGCGTGATGAAGCGAGCACATTGGTGTAATACTCCGACTTCCTTTTCTACAAAATTTACTTTTGGTGATCTGTTCGTTTGAAAGCCTCTACCATGGGTCAGTATTCGCCTGTCATGTTTATTCGCAAATGCTGATCGAGCCTGCTCGCAATGATTCTGCTTCGACAAATTTAGAAAAAAGCAGCGTCCGATGTATGATTTTTGCGACTGAAAGCCTCAACTTTCAACGAGCTACGTCTTGTGTAGGCGCTACACACGACGTAGCTCGTTCAAAGTTGAGGCTTAACAATGAAAGTAACTCGATGGAGTTTCCAGTTCTGTAATTTTCGAATTGTATTGCAAGTTATGGAAGCAGCTAAGTTTGAATTTGCCATCAAGTGCTCTATAACCATGTGAATGACTGTCATTAGTCGAATCCTCTAGCCGTATGAGTCACTCACTACCTTGGTAACATCAGATTGACGATAGGCATCATGTCACGACACTAGAGAGTATCAAAAATTAATTCACTCGAGATTGCATAATCAACGACGTGCTCTTGTTTTGGTGACGTGTGATATCCGTGCACTCAATTTGTGTTTACTGTTTTTTTATTCTAATCAGGTCAACAGCTCAAACATTTGTAGCCATGCTGTGGCTTATTCACTATTGTTGATGCATAACAATATGATTGCGAGCCCGAAGGGTGAAGCCACTAGCGAGTGTGCGCAAGGTCGAATGCCAAACTTTTAAATCGTACTTATCTGTGTGGGTGCCTATCTATCTATCTGTAAATCACGCGGCTACATGTACCTTGCACGTTCTAAGTGCGGTCTAGCGTGTCCCCCCTCATAGGTATATAGGCATATCTGATGTCACTCTTTGGGTAGGTCAATACTGTGATGCACGCATGTAATTGGTTTAAAATCAATCAATGGTGAATGGTGATCACATAAGCAAATGCTGGACGCTCATAAGCCCAGGCTTGATCGCGTTGCCCTACCATACTGTAATTGGGTTAATACAGACATCAACAGGATTACACTCATTCTTCAGCGTTTGCCCTTGCACTGTTTTCGAATTTGATCCAGTTCTTCAAACTGGATTACTAATATCAAAGGGCGAGCTCCAGAGCTTGCTTTCCTATCTTAAATGATCAAAGAAATGTAATCAAAAGTGTCTCAAACGGTCAACGGTAAACGAAAGATAGAGTTGCTTAACTGCTCCGATCACGGATGAGTATCGATTGAGATAGACAGTAGAAAGACGTGTCCGTTACCGATGTCGTGTCCAAACTTCAGCTAAATGTCGTCCTTTCCGGTATTGACTCGCCCTGCATGATGCGAATGCTTGTGTATCACTCTTCCAGTCCAAAGCCTAATCCAATACGAATTTGCAGATGCAACTACGACCACTTTGGCAATCTGAAAACTGATTTGTCCTTACGTTGTTGCCTTCAACCAAGTTAGCCGTTGAGATTAGGAAATTATTGACGGATACCGTGAGGGTATTCGACAGCAACTACACATAATAGCTCGTGATAAATAGACCACTGTAACCAGCCATTCGATTTTTTAGCCTTTTATATACAGCTCTGAATGCAAGGAGGGTGCTACCATTCAACTTATACTCAATCGCGAGTCTGCATAACTCAACAGAATCGATTTTGCCAGTTTGGCAGAAATACCACCTATCTTCGAGTTCACCTCGCTGATCCGGTCGGCAAGCCAGCACCTCAACAGCAAGAATGTCACAGCGAAGCGCAGTGTAGTGCAAATCATTAGCAATTATATAATGACGAATACAAAAAAAATAAACTAAATTTAACACGATGTTACAGGTCAAGTCGGAGGTCTAGATGGTCATTTAAAGACAGGACTTACGCTACAAGCATTGCTTTATTTCTTCATGAATGCCAAGCCAAGTCTTCTCTACAGATTTATACGATGTATATGTCCGGTTGCTGCACGATAGGCTCACTTTAGACGGTAGAGAAAAGAAGGAGGCGTTTAAGTTTGAGCGAGCGATTTCTCCACTGTGAGTTCATGACTTTACACTGATGAGGGACGTCAACTGAAGTTTAGTGAGACCTCTCTCTTTGTATAAGACACCCCACTTCAGTTACACCAGTATTACAAACCAAGATTGCCAATACGTTGGTATGTGCTTTTACAAAATGCTTCCCTCCTCTTTCATATCCGTCAGCTTAATATTTGTTCGCATTCGACACAAGCTTTTAGATCTTTCAAACTCATTAAACAGGTATTGCAAGTCAGCTTACGGGCTCACCCCAGCCAGCGCAAAATTAGCTGCGCTTTTATGAATATTTTGCCATGATTTCCCCCCGTTTTCGTCGCCAATAACGGCATCAGTGTTCAGTGTTCGGTATAAAAGACCATACGACTTGAACTTGGCCATATTGTCTAGATTTCAACGCTTCAAATTCAGTTTAACTCACACAAAGCTTGAGCAAAAGGAGGTGCACACGCAATTATACACTTGCTTTGGCCGCTTCACCTCTGACATGCATATTCTCAAAGTAGTTGGGCACTTCGATACGTTCGAGCTGATTTCATAGCATCGAGCGCTGATGCCACAACTGTTACATAGTACGCTGATGTTCCATGGACTTGCCGAAGAAAGATGTCCTTAGCTATCGTTTTCCATAAAACGATCGAGTCTGTAAAGTGACCGTCCCCATATTTTGCACTGAAAACGATTTCAACTGACACTACTGTCGTTCTAAATACCTCTAGATTGCACCGTCCAAGCCATCTTTATTACCAAAAGACTTGTAAAAACGTATTCGACTAGCGAAACTGTCCTTCGCTTCTATTGCATACGTCATCCGCGGCCTTTCTTTACTCCACGTAGCCTCCGGGTCAATTGTTCACGCGAACATTTGGACAACACATTATGACCTAGGGCATTGGGCATAGCCGAATCAATATAGGAGGTCGGTGGAGACCGTTCGGTGAGAATCACTTTTTACCGTCTGATCGCTCAAGCGATCTTGGAGTGCTTTCGGCATCGCCGGGGTCTATGATCTTCGAGTGCTTTCGGCATCGCCGGGGTCTATGGAATTTCTCCAGCCTTATCATTTCATTAGTCTGATTCACCGAGTAAGGGCGGAACAGTTTTACCAGATCGAATGAAATTGTGGAATCACCGACAGTAATTGTGTGTGGACAGTGCATTTGTCCACTTTCGACAGCTTGTGCATGACCCCACCGAAACGATGCTTTGTAGCATTGAACAGTGTGGTCTTTCGCACCGTATCATAGATAGTTAGGCCACCAAAATAAATGACGACCTTTCGAGCTATGGCGCATGTGCGGGGAGTAAACGACAATCACTGCGAAGACGAATAGCCTGCGACACTGTTTTGTGGGGACGTATTGTGCCGCATAAAACCTGTACCGCCTATGTTTATCTTGTTCGGTAAAAGAAGTGCTTAACGCGAAAGGGCGCGAGCACTGCAACATTCAGTTCTCTAACGCGTTGGTCGCCAGTGCTCACAAGAGGAAACGTGTCGCACGAATTGTTTGCCATATCACTCCGCTTTCCGCATCCAGGGAGCGAGCGTGCAGCAGAAATGTCGCCATCTCTGGCCCGATCCGTTGATCTTTTGTTCACCGACGTCTCGGCACCATTCGATTGTCTCTAGCCACTGGATTTCAAAACACAGAAGTTGAGCAAAATGCCACGATCCAGCATCCACACACGATACATACTTGAATCCATTGCGCTGAAATGCCCTCTTGTCCATAATAAGTATATGAACGAAGATCGCTACACGCATCTTTGGACCGACCTGTATCTATCTCCATTCATTTCCAGAGCTGGGCGTCTCTGACATGCAATAATTCGCAGCAAACACACCTCCACTTGATCTTCTTCGAATGCGCCGTCGCCACTCAAGTCCTTACGTCTCTTCTGCTCTTCATCACAGTTTTCCACCATAAACAAGTCTCTCATCGTCAGCTGCTTCGAGCTCGATGTCCACACGCGACGCCTCCATTTCCACGACCCCCTTTCGCTTTCGTGTCAAACCGTCTATCTGGGTGCACACGGCCAAAGTCAAAAGCGACAGGTCCATCTCCTTGCGCGCACTCTGAAGGGTCCACTTTTGCGCACTCTCGACTCACTCTTGAAATTGCGCACTCGAACACAAGTTCAACATCGAGAGAGAGAGAGAGACCATCACTCTCACTCACATTTTTCTCCTGCTCCTTCATGACTGACGAGCGTCGGCCGTCAACCGCTCGTGGCAGCAAGAGTCCGTACCCGGCAAAGCGCGCGCTCGCGTTCGGCAGTCCATCGTCTTCCACCGCCGTGAGCCTTCTCCCGCCTCGTCTCTCGCCAGTCCATCAAAAGAAACGAGCGCCTACTGACGCTACTGATGCTGCTCGTACTGCCTTGACCTTCTTGCAGAGTGCACGGGACCGCAACGTGCCAGTCCGCTACGGCAAGTGGAGTCGCCAAGAAGACGCGTACTTGGAGAAGCTCCTGACGCTCTTCCAAGACGGTGTCCTCGCTAACGTGAAGGCCAAGACGTCACTCCGCTCGTGGCTCGCGCACATGCTCAACTGCTGTCCCATGCGCATCTCCAAGAAGCAAATGCACGGCCGCCAGTTCGAAGGCAAAGCCAAGTACAAGCGCCAGAGCAGCAACGTCGACAGCATGACGCAGACGCAGTACGAGCGCTTGTGTACCGAGCTCTGGCACGCACGCGCCGAATTCCTCAAAGCGTGGGCCAAAGACGAGTACGCGAGACGCAGTGCCAAGCTCCGACGATCAACAGACGCGACGTTGACGGACTGGTACGACAACGTCTTGCGCCTCGTGCCGACGCCCGCGATTGCAAAACGGTCGAGTGTCGTCGAGTACACAGACAAGCGGATGCCGCCCACGTCTCTAGAGGAGCTGCGCCAGGAGATGCAGATGGATGCAAAACGACAGCAAGTCGGGATGCGCGTGGAGATTCGAGCGACGACGGCAGTTGAACCACAGGCGCGACCACGACCACCATCGCCATTACTACTGACACAGCCAGAGCCACTAGATGTACTGGACGAGCCATGGCAAGTTCCGGCGCTTCAGGTCGAGCCATCGACCGCAGTTGTGACAGCTCTGCCTACTGCCTACTGCACGGACGACAGCGACACAATCAAGATGGGCCAGTACTGGCTCCAAGACTTGGACGACCGGCAACGTGCTGCCCTCTGGACTGCTGACAGCTGCAAGAGTCAAGAGCATACGCACAAGACGTTAAGGGAAGACGAGGCGCACGTGTCGACAGCGCAGCAGAACGCCGAGCTCTTGATGTCGTGTGGCGCGTCGCGAGTTTTTGTCGATTTTGGTGCACCGAGTTGCTGGTACACGGGGGAAGAGCCAAAATCGGCGCGAAGTGGCAACTGGATGGACAATCACGACCTGGCTTCGGACGACCTCGCAATGAGTCTCGAGCCCCATGATGTCTTTGACTGGGGCGGGTCGTCTCCAGTTGCGTCGATGGCGCTAGGTCCGACACTACCATTCCTGTAATCGCTTCTCGTGGCTAAGACACAACGCTCATAAGTTGATGTATGCACGACAGCGCGGAGTGCACGCGCTCGCAGACATAGTGTCGTCCCCCTTTGTGCCTTAGTGAGGACCCCCCCTCTCTATCTTACCTCTCTTTTCTTGATCGTACTATTTTATTGGGCAGTAGTATAGCCAGTGTCTTTGTGGTTTCGTACTTCAATGTGTGCTGGTCAATTGGGCAGCTCGACCACGAATGCCGTTGCAAAGAATCGTGAAATCCTGCTGAAGGTTGTAACCCGTTTTTAGGTGACTTCTGCTCAATCTGATGACAAAGATGATGGAAAACGTAACTGAGATAGCAGGTCTTGCTGGACTTGTAGCTACTTCGAGTGTCCTTGCTTGGCTTCTCCATTTCTCAACATGTAAGGACGTTGTGTCAAATATATCCGCTGTATTGAATGTCGGAGCTAGCAATCTTGCCACCGCTACAAACAAGTTCCATCAGAGGACAGATGATGGCGTTGGTACTCCTCCATATCGCTGCAGCCTCACAGCACGACTTTGACCAAGACAATACGCAGGATCGTCGTCTCTCCGTCTGTGACGCTACAAGCAATTTTACACATCGCCACGCTCACAGAGACTGACGTAGTACGCGTAGTTGCAATGATTCTCATGCAGACACCTCCAGCTGAAAAACTTCCATATTTACGATCCGTGTGCCGATCAACGACGGACAAAAGCTATCGAGCAAGACGATTGAATCGCATGGACTACAAGTACATAAGCTACGGTAGATATCGAGGACAAGCTCAGCAAGTGTCGGTGCTCGCAGATCTTCAAGAAGTCGGTATCTAGATAATTTACGAAAGATAGATCAGGCAAAAACACGAACACTTGGAGATGAATCAAACGGAGCTGTATCTGAAGACGTGTAATCTCTCGGTATTCAAGGTTCCTTGAAGAAGCTGATCATATTGGTCTATACAGTAGCTGATGCGCTAAAGGTCTTTGTGGACGCATGCTGATCCGGAAGCATTTAGTCGCAGAGGCAGCCTGTGCTGCGAGGCTGCACAGGCTACAGTAGCAGAAGCAGAGACATTTCTGCCTATCAAGATACTGTTGATTAGCATCTCTCGGTCTTGTCCTACTGGTCCAATGACAATCTCTTTTCTGCTTATTTGCTACAGTTAATCATTGACTGAGCCCATACAAGCTTATCGGGATAAGCAAAAGAAACAGCGTCATGCAAAGACACGACTTTGACATTTTTTAATCATCGTCTTGTCCTTTTCGTAGATGTTGTCAGTGTATACCTGGTTTGCATTACAAGCGAACCATGTCGACGAAAGTAGAGAAAGTAGTGCTCACAAACCATATCTGTACCTGAGAGAAGCACTTGACGGCATGAAGAAATGGGTGGGAAATGCCTGTTGGCACTACACACAACTGCGTCTTCCCGACATGCTAACTCCAATTTTCCAAACAGCTCATTGTCTTAAAGTACTTCAGACATCACTCGTGAAGCGCAAAACACATTCTCCGCTCGGCTAGTCATCTACGAGCATGCTCTCGACGCTGTCAGTTATATCATCTTCGGTGACCATGGTACTCTCTTCCTGCTGCACGGCTACAAGCCCCTTGTTGGAAATTAGTTCGAGCATGTGTGCAGCGAATTCATCTAGTAGTACAGGCCATGCTCCATTTTCGTCATAGTTGCTCAAATCCGGATTAATCTGGAGGCCAAAGTCCAGCACCTGAAGCCACAAGTCCTTCGGTACGACACTGCGCGAGTTGTCGCGGACATACTGAATCCAATGCCGGTGCCAGTAGAAATGTCCAGGAAGAAGTAAATCCCAAAGTTCTATAGCGAGCTCCAAGGCTAAGCTTTTTTGGGCTGGATCCTTTGAAAAGCCATATGCGAACTGCACAGCCAGACAACTGCATGAGAAGCCTTTTGAAATGCCATCCACAATCCAGTCAAGAGCAAACTACGTACCGCATAAATAGTCCCGAGGTGGGCTCGCTCTTGCATCTGGCTACGCAAACATGGGATTTTACCACGTAACTCTTCGATTGAACGGCACTGCAACTTGTGCATTCCACGTCGAAACTCGGTGCGCGTGTAAATGCCCATAGTCTCGGCCTCCATGGCACAGCTCAATGCCAGCATCACGGGGTCCTGAGCATCGACACCCAATGCATCACAAAATGCCAAGATGCCTTCGTCTGTAATCGAAGCTTCTTGTGTCTCTAGGTCTTCCGATAAAAAGGATTCAAATGAACATATCATCAACATTCACATACCAACGATACACCTTTTTGGCAGCTCTTTGCACCCGCATACCTAGAAAACGCGCGAACTCTGCGTCAATCATAACGTTGTCCTGCCCCTCGTTCTTCTGCTTTTTCTTCGTGCTGCCCTTCTCGACAACCTGTAAAAATATAGTTTGGAGAAGAGAAGTATCCACCTTTGGAATCAGCGTCTTCACCAGATCGGGAACAAGATAAGAGTCCACACTCACCCTTACAGTAGCACTCAAGCTCCTTTTTGTGCCGCTCTGGGGACTGCTTCGGTATTCACTGTGATGCTTCATCGTTGCCACGTCGGACTGGTATCTTGCATTGGCCTTAATTCGCTCTACTATCTCTGCCTTACGCCCGCTCGTGCGGATACCTACGACAGATTTAGGACAATTTAACCTTTTTTTAGTGAATACCTCTACAACATAAAAACAACGTCGCCCTCGAAGTTAAAGTAGAACGCACCAAAAGTGCGGCAGATCTCCGTGAGGTCCTTGACTCGGAGACTAGAGAGATCCATGACTGGCTGGTCAAGTAGTGCTCGAGCTGGATGTAGATAAGATGAACGGCACAATAAACGCGCAGTTGCAATAATTAGAGCTTAATTGAATACACACGCGATGGAGAGGCGGGTAAAAACATACGCACCTCAAGCGGAACCCGGCCGTTCTCGCAAAATTGACTTTGGGTATGAATTGGACGGAAGTCTGGCTAATTCGACATTTTTACTACGCTTGACAAGAAATGTTTAAGAAATGTTTCTAGATTAAGAAAAGGTGGCAAGTCTTGATCTTTTACATGCGACAGTGTGGGGGAATACCGATCGAAGCTGTCGATACCGACGCATGACAGAAAGTATTCTATTTGTGTGCACTTCGGTATAAACTACGTAAGCGTATTTTTCGCAGTAAGGCACAATACCCTGCAATTCATGAAATAAGATTGGGGAGCAAGCTCTGGAGCTCGCCCCTTGATATTAGTAATTCAGTTTGGAGAACTGAATCAAGTTGCAAAACATGAGACACCAGCAACATTGAAGAAGGAGCATGATGTTGTTCATGTATGCATGAATTCAATACGGTATCCTCAAGCAAAGCGAGCAGCCTTTGCTTACCAGCGTTCAGCATTTGCTTGTGTGATCATATTCACATTTGATTAATCGATGCCGATCACACGCGTGCGCCAGAATAGTGACTAAGCCAAAGTGACTTCGGATACGCCTATATTCTTATAAGGGGGGACAGGCTAGTTCGTACTTAGTTCGCGCGAGGTACACCAAACCGGGCTATTTACAGACGGAAAGGCGGAAAGACGGACAGACAGACAGACAGACAGACAGACAGACAGACGGACTATAACAGGTGGCTCAGTACATGACCTTAACACCAGTCGGTATCAATAGGGTGACAATCCCCTACCTAGAGTGACAATTCCCTACCAATATTATCAAAGATTGATAATACTGAAGAAAAATTATCCCCTTTCAGGATAGTGATTGATGGTTAAGGGGGGGGGTAATGTAACGAGGTAGCCCAATACATGATATTGACACCAAACGGTGCCAACAGGAATATTGTCTAGCGTGACAATAGCTGCTAATATTATCTGAGATGGACAATATTGATGGAACATTATCCCCTTGTAGAGTAACATTCATGCGCTGCTCAAAGATCGGTTGATATAAGACATGTCAACCATAGATAACCACCAACCGCTGCTAGACGCGCGTATTGAATGGCGAGCAGGTTGTCGTCATAGTACGACGCAGTTTAACATAGTTAAATAAAGATTAGAGTTATACTAATAGCTTAACGATCCTAAATACAGTTCTCTTTTTACCTCTACTCAAACGAGTCGTTCAAGTAGATTAGCTTCCTCTGCACGTACTGGTGTACGTGAAGTTTCGCGGTACCCCAAACAAAGGATGCCCCGTTACACCTGGTCGCACTTCGTAGTCCGTCCAACGACTGCTTAGTGTCCGTCTAACATGAACATGTTGGACGTAGAAGACAACAGCTTTCACGTCACACGTGAAGGCTACTCCCATATGAGTGACTCGGAGTGGGAGATAGTCGGCCGCAAGAGTGTGCTCATGGGCGAACCCTCCATAAGTGGCATGTTGGAGTATCTAAGCAGAGACAAGCAACATGCCGCTATCAACAAGTTCCTACAAGGGGAACTTACTGTCGAAAGACAGAAGATACCCTTGCTACAGCAGCAAGGCTCTCATCAGTCGGTGGGTGGGCCGACGCGTGTGCGTCGACCAGAAACCTTAGATATCTCAAGGTACAGGGGAACCGATGGAGATTCCCTTTTGAGATGGTTCATCGAGTTAGACGACGCCTTCAGGGCCATTCACATCGAGGGTAACGAGATGCAAGTCACCTTCGCCCTGACAAATTTGACAGGACGAGCAAAAACATAGGCCTAAGGGCTCAAGCTTCACGACCCAAACGTGTTTGAATTGTTGAAGATCTTGAAGTCTCGGCTCAAAGACACGTTTGAGCCGCCACGAGCCGAGTTCAGAGCACGCTCTCCACTCTTGAGGCTAAAGCAAGGTAAGCGTGACGTGCACGCTTACGAACAACACCAACGCTACCTTGCGAGTAGCGTCACGCAATACCCTGTTGATGAGGACAATCATTAACGTGTTCATCTACGGTCTTGTAGATGGACCAGTGAAGACCTACATGTTCCAAGAGGACTTTAAAACTCTGTAAAAATCGATAGCGTATGCGGACCAAGAGTACTTTGGACTGATAAAGTCTCAGGCTAACTCTTCAAACTATCCTTCGACGAGACGACAGGAAACAGGAGGTCCCGAGCCAATGGATCTCTGTTGCATCGAGAGCGAGAACTATTTCTCTCTGAGTCACAAGCGAACGGCAAAATGCCATCGCTGTCAGAAGATTGGGCACTACACTCATGAGTGTAGTGTCCCAAGCACGACAACACGTCCGAAAACAGGACGTGATGACCGCCGTTGGCCAAAGAAATGTCCAAGACGTGGGTTCTACCATGTCACTAAGTCGCGACAGCGTGGCGGACCGTCAAAAAGCGGTCAGGGTCAGAAGGAAGGGAGCACCCTGTCGATCCAGCAACGTCAAGAGAATTTGCAAGACTCTTGACGAAGATTGCTCCCAACACACAGTCGCTGTGTGTAACTACCCCTAGTGATGAGTTGTCCCTCATCACTTTTGATATTGAATTGACAAGTGGAATGTCACTTCGCGCCCTGTGGGCGTCGAACGGTTTTATTCGACGCCAGTGGCTAGAGGATAGTAGCATCAACTATGTTGAGCGAGAGTTCCCTCCAACGAGGATGACGGTGTGCCTTGAAACAGGCGCATCCGTATCAGTGATTAAACGTACAGTGGGACTTCACTACACGCTAGAAGGAAAGCAATACGATGATGACTGCATCGTACTAGATTTGGATGACAAATTTGATGTCATCCTCGGTCTGCCATGGCTTAGAAAAAACCAGCCATGGGTTAGCTGGCAGCATCGATCCGTGAAGATGCCTGCCGTTTGTTCATCGGATGGCCATCCGATGAATGTCTTGGAGCGTTTACAAGCGTTTGGATGTACTACGAGTGAGTGCGATGGCCTCACTTGTGGTACGGTCGTTATTATGACTGCACAAGATCACAGTGTAGAAGGCCACTCCACTGTGGAACCAGCTTCCGGCACCTGTGTAAAGACACAGGCTTCGCCGAAGGTGCACCACTCGAAACGATCGAGTGGATTGGGACATGGATGCACACCAAGCAGGGTGCATGCAGGAAGAGACATTAGTGTTGTTCAGGATAAACAACACGTTGAAGCTAGATTGACTTACAGAGAGTCAATCGTAAAGCAAACACGATCGACTAAAAGAGAGTCTATCGAAGAGGACGTGACTGAGATAGAACAACAAAAATCAGTACACGTGTTGGAAACAAGTTCTAGCGTTCCTGAGAGTAATAACGCCCGAGAGAGTTATGTTGAGGGCGTGTTTTCCCAACCACCTGCGGATGTGTTTTCCCAGGAAAGCACCGAGACAGTGAATGTCTTGGTGAATGACATATCAACTGTAGGCGCTCATACACTTGATCTGGTTATGCCCCTGAAGTCAGCTTTGGAGGTAGTCAAATTGCCAACGCAAGAATCTATAGAAAATCCTGCGAGATCTGCGTAGTGACAAGATCAAGCAGATCTGTGAACTCTTCACAGAGGACGAGTACGTCGCCGATATTCGGTAGGAGTGTCCTCAAAGAGAACACCTATATTGAGCGATCCACGTCTCAATCTTGTGATTCTTTGAAGACAATCCTTTGCATAAGAATTTGGTCAAATTCAGGGATGTTTTCCCTGAGTTCGTGCCATGTGAGCTGCCTGTAGATAAAATCAATTGGCATGTGATCGAAATGAAACCCGATTTGAAGTACTGTGTCATGAAGCAGTGGCCACTGCATCGTGAACAGGTCACAGTGATCGACAAATTCTTTGACGATCGCTCAGCTGCTGGCCATGTGAGGGAATCAACATCCTTACACATCTCTCCGACCTTCTGTGTGTAAAAGTCCCCAGGAGGGTGGCGGATAGTACACGCATTCAACAAACTGAACGCTGCAACGGTACTGGCTCAAACGCCGATCCCAAGAAGGGACGTCATCATTGATGGTATGGCAAAGAGTACCATCTTTTCATCCATGGATTTGATGGATGGATTCTGTCAGTTCCTCATGCGTGAAAGGGATATCCGTTACACGGCAGTGAGCACCCCCAGTGGTATGCTCTGGGGGTGGCTGGTGATGCCACAGGGAATAAGCTATGCCCCCGCAACGTTTAACAGATGTGATACGAACCTGTTGCGATCGGTGCGCGACTTCGCGCCGAGTTACTTCGACGATGTCTTCGTCCATAAACCAGCCTACGGATGTAAAGACGGACGTGGAGGTTCAAAGAACCCACGTCCGAAAGGCTCTTACACTAATGCAAGAGCTTAAGTGTTTCGCGATCCTCAAGAAGTGTATATTTGCAGCGAACGAAATACCACTTCTTGGCTGCATCGTGGGTATAAACGGTGTACGCCCTCATCCGGAAATATCAAGGCGATTTGCGACTGTCCCGTGCCAGTCGACGTTAAGGGACTTCGAAGGTTTCTTGCTTAGCGGCGTACTTGCACAAATACTCGCGCAACTATGCCGAGATGACTGTACATCTCTCTCGTCTGCTAACTAAAAAAGAAAGATGGTCATCGAGCGCTGAGTGTCAGCACCCTTTTTAAAAGTATCAAGAAAATCTTGATACAATCGCCTGTGTTGGCGATTGCAGACCAGGATAGAGCATTACATGTGATCTGTGACGCCAGCAATTTCGCAATCGGCTGCGCGGTAATGCAGCATGACTCAGACGGCGCTGAGCGCGTCGTCTGCTATCAATCGCGTCAGCTGCAAGCAGCTGAGCTCAATTTACCAGTGCATGACAAGGAACCCCTTGCCATGAAATATGCACTGGCTAAGTTTCGGGTATATCGCTAAGGAGATAGTTCCTTCATCGTAGATACCGACCATGCGTCGTTACGCACGGCCGTAAACTGTCCACACCTCTCGCAACGAATGGCGAGGTGGCTGTCTTTCTTCGCAGAGTACAACTTCTCCGTCGAGTATAAACCAGGGCGACTTAATGTCGTCGCTGATGCTCTTTCGCGTTGGCCCAATTTGGAGCCGACTGCGCAACCCAAAAGTAGGGGTGATCCCACTTTTGCAACACTATCAGAATGTGTTCTGTGGTCGAATCTGCTCGACGACGTGCTGAAAAGCATACACAGAAGATGAGTCTCTTCTGCGATTGATGGATTACGTATCCAATCCGTGCGGTCAAGCTTCGAAAGCTTGACGACTCAATATCGCTCTTCAACCGAACGGGATTCGGTTCGTGATGGACTGCTGTACTATACAGCAGTCAACGGCGACACACTCCATTTCATCGTTCTGGCTCATAATGATTTGCGACTGCGCATCATGTATGAGTGTCACGATTCCCCAACAAGTGGTCATCGCACTAGAGAAAAGACTTACCTCATGGTGAGTCGTGATTTCTACTGGCCCCGCCAGTATGAGTTTGTGCGGAAATACATTCGCGCTTGCGAATTTTGTCAACGGGTGAAGCCTAGTCCTTCATCCCGCGCACCCTTGCAGCCTCTTCCGATTCCGTCAGAGTGTTGACAGTCCGTAACGATGGACTTCGTCTTCGGGGTTCCCAAAGACGTTCACAAGAATACTGGCATTCTTGTGTTTATTAATCGGTTCAGCAAGATAGTACATCTTGTTGCAGAACCGGAGTCAATCACAGCCCAGGGCTGTGCGCTTGCCTTCATCGATACTATCTTCCAAGTTCACGGGTTACCCTGTGAACTCGTGTCCGATAGGGACCCCAGCTTTACAGCTGAGTTCTGGCAATCCGTGTTCCGTTCACTTGGAACACGTTTGACGATGTCAACTTCTGACCATCCAGAAACAGATGGCCAGACAGAACGCTTCAACCGCGTCCTCGAAGAGATACTTTGAGGGTATGTCCACTCGTTTACGAGTTGGGGTGAGTTCTTGCCGATGGCGGAATTCACCATCAACAACTCGATGCATGGGTCGAAAACGCGTACACCGTTCTTCGTGAATGGTCTACGCCATCACGTTTACCCGCCTTCTTAAAGTGTGACTCTAGTCTAAGGGTAACGTAGTATATTCGCTCGACCAAAAACCAATTTGGTTCTTGCTCATCACCCGTCGACACTGCATCGACGTGATGAATGCCAATCGGTCGATATCGGAATCGATGACGATGATGATGATGACGACGATGCTGGTATATTCAGCATCGCAAACAACTGCCAAAGTGAGGACGATGACGCTCTCAATGATGAAGACAATGTTCTTTCAGCAGTGCACACGAAGAGCACTGCTGTTGACAAGGATGAATCAGCAGAGGAATTTCTGCTGACTCGCGAAGCGGATGTCCGCTTCGTTCAAATTTCTAATGCTAATGCACTATACAGACAGAAATGAAACACAGACAAACAAGAAAGAGAAAATGTTCTTTCACTTGATAAGGGACCTAGTTTTACTGTCTACAGTAAACCTACTGAAACACGCAGTGACAAACGTGGGCAGCAGTAAATTACTGCCCAAGTACATCGGTCCATTTCGTTTGTTGCGCTGAATAATCAGCGCATACACGATTGAACTGCCCCGTAAGATGCGTACGCATCCTATGTTTTACGTCGGTCGCCTCCTCCTTTACTATCAGTACGAGCCCGTTTCGAGATGCGCAGAACACCTCCGCGGTCGAGAGCCGAGACCACTTTCGAGTGGTCCGGTTTCAACAAGCCAGTCTGGTCGACTAGCGAAGCGATTTATTCACGCAGTTGAGCGATGTCTCGACGAGCTACAGCCAGCTCGTCGCGAAGAGAACGAGTCGAGCGTTTGATCTTAAGTTGCGCGAAGGCAAAAGCGGTACGATAGTCCGAACGATCGTGCGTTAGGGAATTCTAATTATCCATTACAAGATCCTGAAGCTCATAACGCCGAGTCCGTTCATGAGCCAGGTCATCTTGCAACTATTCCGTCGGACGGTTCAGCTCATTAACATCAACTTAATCCGATCCTCGAGCCGGATCAGGTGTTCTCACCTCCACCACATTCATTAGTGGATCAGGCGGTTGTCAACGCTTTACGGTGGAGCGTATTTTGAACCACTGCAACGTGAATGGCGTCCGGACGAGTTACCTTGTCCGCTGGCGTGGCTATCCACCGGCCTAAGACAGCTGGGTGCCTTGCGCCCAGATGATTGTTGATGCTTTGTGTCTCGTCGAGCAAAATGATGAGACCCAACCACTGTTGTCGAAGAAGGGCCGTCGAAAAACGACCCCCGAACGCGAGTGCATTGTATTGCAAACTTTCAATCCCTTTGGCCATATAAAAAGTGATGCTAGCCCCTAATTAGGGAGCATTAGAGAGATAGGCCTCCTAAGGGGCACAATTAGCATTCTCTAGGCACCCTGGACAAGAATATCCCCACAAGAGACAGGGTAACCCTGCTTCTCTTAACAGTCGTGCAACTTGTATTTTAAACCGTCTGTTTTACGTTTTTTAAATATGATGCAAGCTGCATCAAGTTTACCGAGCCAAGCATCTACGCCAACGCCTTTAATGTCATGGATGAAGGCATTCCATCCCTGCACCAAGGCCTTACCATCTCGACCGCAATTTCCATTGTGCCAACATTTTCTGGAGAACATGTCGGTGTAGAAATCCTCCTCTGCACAACCGTTTTCCGTGCTGAAAATTTGAAGAACAGATCCGTCAACAGTCGAACAGCGGGATTTGATCCCGTTCAGTGGTCATATTGGCCACTCGATCTAACTCCTTGGATGATGGCATCCACGGGTGACTACACTTGAGGAGCATGGCGCAGGACATTGCAGTCCCTGGACCTCTTGTGTGGTGTCAGCATGAGCACTGACACCAGTAGCAGATTGATTCCTCGAGCTGCTTCTCTTGTGGTAATTTATAAGTGCATTAACACTATAACCACGCGTCCTATTGTCATAATGGATTTGCGTGAGAGGAGTATTCGTCAGACGAATCATTCGGTCCAAAGATCTCGGACATGATGCCCCATGGTCCCCAGAGCCAGTCAACCTGTCTCTTTAACGTCCACCCCGGGTGTTTCAGAGGCCGGAGGCGCCGCCTTCGAGTCGGATAAGGCATCCGAATTGCCAGAATAGACAAGCTCTATTTTAGAATCATCCACATTGCGAGTAGCGACATCCGCTGCAGATGCATCGGATGTATCTGTCGCAGGTAGTGACTTACCACGTAGACTAGTCGCAACAGGAACTGCCTGTTGCTGAATCGCAACATCAGGTGAAGGATCAACTGCTGCTGAGGCTTGAAAAGTGTTCTCTTCGTCTGCACGCATGCGTGCAACCACCTTCCTGGCTGCTTCAGCAGCGCACCGCATGGACTTCGAAGACATGCGATAAATTGGTTGATGAGCTGAAAATTGACCAGCTAGTGCTCCCCGTTCCCAGAGTGATCCAACAATAATCACTCTGTCCCCGATCAATTTGATTCAATTAACGGTTAATTAATGATTAAGGGGAGAGTGATGTAACGGAGTATCCCGTTACATGATGTTGACACTAAACGATGTCAATAGGAATACTGTCTAGCGTGACAATCCCTGCCAATATTATCTGAGATGGATAATATAGATGGAACATTATCCCCTTGTAGAGTAACATTCATGCGCTGCTCAAAGATCGGTTGATAGAGACACATCAACCAAAATTATCACTAATCGCTGCTAGACGCGCGCACTGAGTGGTGAGCAGGTTGACGTCATACGACGACGTAGTTTAGTATAGTTGCATAAAGATTAAAGTTATATTGATAGCTTAACTATATAAATACAGTTCTCATATTACATTTACTTATACCAATATTCTAAATATATTATCTTCCTCTGCGCGTACGAGTGTACAAGAAGTTTCGTGGCACCCTTAGCCAAGCTAAGGGTGCACCGTTACAGTGCTGAGCAGGAAACCAACATAGGAGGTTGTATTTTAATTTAGTCAAATCAAGACCGAGACGATTCACAAAGAATCTATCTATGTGCAACTAAGTTCTACTTTTTAATTGAGCTCTTATATCTATTTAATTCGCTGTGCTTCCTCACGCCACGTGTGCGCGACGTCGGGAGCACGCAGTCCTGTGTCCAGTCAGCACAAGATATTGGAAGTCATATGGAAAGAGCGTGCCCCGTTAAAGTAGGCGCGTCCCTACGCAACGGGTAAATGGTAGAAGATGTATATACATGCCCGTCATTAAATATTAATGCCGTTCCGGAGTGCGATCCCTGCTTATTAAAGTTTCAATCTGGCATTAATAGGTCAAAAGTGGATCGATGTTCGCGAGGCCGAATGGCGTTTACAAATTAGATCTGTCACCATGTTGGCCATAAATTTCTCGATTTGCAGTTTAAAAATATGAGTGGATCTTAGGACAACATCGCTACAAACTTTGCTACACAGCATCTACCGGCATGGCTGATGTTGTGGGTTCAGTAAGTGCATCAAAGCACTAGACCTAATATGAGCAGGAGGAGTGTATTTAATCGCACTGCGAGCCTCGCGAGGAAAGGATTGATGAAGCCCACGCTTTTGCTACAACGGCTGCTATTTAAACATTTCAACTGCCAGAACACAGCACCCATAGACTTTACCCTACGTACGTGTTAATATCTGGAACTTCATGAGCCTAACTATAAAGGTCTTGCAATACACCCTAAAAGTGACCCGACCTCAATAGCACGCGGCCTTCAAACCAGCTACTTTCCCGCTGATACAACGCCAACGAGTTAGATGCTTGCTGATGCCCCCGTTGGTTCGACGAGCGACACCTTTTGATATTTCAACAGGTGTGCTTGATCTTGTAGATCGTCTATTGGCTTGATTTTGTGCTGCCTTTCAAACAAAAGGGTGCAGCTCATTACCAACTTGAGAAAAATGTACAATGTGTGAAAACGCGTTAAACGTCAAAGTAATGAAAGTTTTAGAATGCGATCAGCGACTCCAGCACTGTCCTGCAACTGGAGTACTTGACGATAATATTATATGAGCTTGACATAGCTCACTTATACCGCACAAATATATGTGCGGTGCACATCATAAGCAATTGAAATGTGAAGTACAAGATAATCGCAGCGATTCTCCGATTACAAAAAAGCAAAGGCCAAACAACAGGGTTCATTGTTGATTCTGCTGGGTCATTCAGATTAATTAAAAGCAATAGTTCAAAAATACGCCTGATTCCGTCAGGTGTAGATCCCAAATTTTCAGTTCACATTTACTGTTAGCTTACCTAATTGCCCGTGTAAGTAGCACGAGGCGCACGCATTTATGCAGCGCCGGAGTCCGACTTTTCCTCACACCATTCGCATCGACTACATCGTGTCACGCATTAATAAATAACGATCTAATTTTAGGGCCGATTACCGCTTTTTGTGGCACCGAAGTCATTCGTTTATACCTCATTTCAAGTCATAATCATCTACGGCGCCGCACTCGCGTGCAATGATCTATGGTGCGTCAGATAAGTGGCCTCGATTATAACCATTCCACAAATGGCCGAACCTTTTGTCTCATATTGTTTACACAGCAACCTTTTTTAACGTTAGTAGATCAAAACTCCTTCGAATACAAGTACCTATTAGAGCCGAGCACATTTTATGGTTTTCACAGTACATCGGAAGCGAATAGTGCGTCTAAGTCCATAGAGTCTGCACATGTGTCGCTCTCAGCACTTCAGCACTTGAGTATTAGCATTTTCTGACGTTATAAGCGCCTGCAGCAGCTACATATGGCTTGGCTTAGTACTCACTCTCACCATCTGTACTTGCTGATCAGAATCTCTTTAGTGCAGGCGTCACAATATCAACTGGACCTATTGTTGCAACAACTCTTCCACAGGTTGTTATCCCGAAAAAAATAAAATCAACTTTCACGACCTCCATATCATCTTCACCGTAATGAAGGAATCACCACCTTGCTAGAAAATCTACAAATGTTATTCTGCCAGTACAAATCATCGCGCCTTCCATTTGGCAACGCGAGCGTACAGGTTACGGCCCAGTCCCATGAGGGGCATCACTTTACTGGAGAAATTTTTTTATATGTACCATCTTCACACACACACGGAGAGGAAAATGCGAAACGTCCGAGTGAATTGCAGACGGCTGCGGTGACAAAGCCGCACTTACTTACTTTTACGGTTTCCAGAATAGATATTTTGCGCGTACTAAAAACGCACCTGTGGTAGAGTGAGTTTCCAAAACTGCGTGTTGATCCTCCATTTCACTCACTGCGCCGAACTGCCAACTTACGGGAGAGGGTCACCCGGTTCGCGTATGGAACTTAACTAACCTTTTACACCCACCGGCTGGTGGGTTTCGCACTATGGTACACTTGAGCGAGGAGGTAAATATCTTGATCTTGATCGAGGAAGACATGTGCTGTAAGTAAACATACTTCACCGGGTGAGCCTGTAGATGTCCACTTTTATCGACCCAGTCGAGAGTGGACTTAAAAATACCTTAAGGTAGCCTGTCGCTCCTGGCTTCGAGCTTGTTGCATCAGAAGTAATAACCTCTTGGCCTTTTCGTTTCTCCCTAACCGTATGATGGAGATACCGCTTCCGATAAAGAGCATTGAAAGGGGTGTTGCTACTCGACAAATCCACAGGCCAAATACTTTTAGGGGTTTTATCTGCTGTTGAGTATGACCTCGCAACTGTTTTCGGTGGGTAGAGGGAAAGGCTCCTTTCTGCGGAACAAACGGGTAGACTTACCAAGCTTTTATACGCAAAACGAAGTACAGACGAACACAAAGACCAAATACTTTCTGAGGTTATTTTCGCATTCGGATATAGCCACACGACTGTCCACTACGGGGGGCAGAGGGCACCTTCCTTGGAACAGGCGGATAGTATACTGAGATACTTTATGAAGGGCAAAGTCCAGACGAACCCACAGACTAAATGATTTCTGGAGTTTTATTTGCATTTAGGTCTTACCGCGCCGATGTCTTCTACGGGGAGGGCCCCCCTTACCCGGAACAGGCGGGTGGCAAGAACCAAATTACTTCAAGCACGACAAGGTTGTGCCACGTAGATTCAAATTGAGCAGTATAGAATATCGACCTATCCTTTAACTTTTTCACTTTATCCTTGCCATAAGCTCTGGCTATTCATTTGACGGTTTAGAAGCAGCCGAATCGTGAAGGACCTTAGTCTACCAATAAGGGATTGATGTCAAGGCATGAGGGACCAATGTCTATCGATGAGGGACCGAAGTCTATTGATGAGGCACCAAGATCTATCGATGAGGGACCGGGCTCACCATGAGGGATTAAGATCTACCTTGCGCACTGGGCCCGCCAATGCGGTTCTGTAGCCATCTTCTGTCAGTGCCGCTTAATTGTTACCTGGAAATGGTCTTCTTTAGTATAGATCCTGCGACTACCTATTCTTTAAGGTTCCGACCACTTTCGTGACCCCTTCTCTATTAGGTACCTTGTACCGGAAGTTGGCTCTTTGTCCCTTATCGCGATAGCCTCCGAACCCACTATTCTTCCAAAGCCTTTTACCACAATGCCGATTACGCCTATGCGATACAGAGGTCTGCCCAATGAGGGATCGAGTATGCTGATGAGGAGCCGCGGTACCGTATTCGGGATCCTTCGGTAGCTATTGACCGGTACAATGGTAATTATGTCCCCGTTATTAGTCTGCAAGCCCCGTTTGTCCCAAGTTTGTGTATTTCCGTGGTATTCTTATCTTTGGTTCCTTAGAATTACTGGACTGTAGGTCCACCACTTTCGAGAATCACATTACCACACACCTGTGCTATTGTGGCTCATAAGATTTAAGCTTGGTCAGGAAGTATAGAATATAGAAGGGTTTTAGTAGCGAAATGCGCTGGCATCTTCATTATGGGTTTTACATAGGCAATTGAGTAAACAGTAATAGTGTTTTGAGTATTTGGGATATATTTCTGACAAAATCGGGCGTATTTTTTTAGCTTTTATTGGTAACGAACTAGAATGACCCAGCCGAATTAAAACGGAACCCCGCTGTTTAGCATTTGCCTGAATATTCACTAAGACAATTCGCATTCTAAAATTATAGACGATGCCAAAAAAATGACCCTGTTGTCATTCAGGAATCAATAATTACACAGTGTTGTCATCATCTTTATAGACTGCCAACACCAAATTATTGTGACAAGTACACTTTTCAAAAAGTTAGCATCAGGTGACAGGCTAGCGTCTGTGAGGGATTCTGATATACTATCGGGTGGCGTAAAGTCTGGAATAGAACTGACCACCGAGAAGATCGCCGAATGTGGTAGCATTAATCACGAGCCAAGACGTATGACCGACCGTGAGCCCTTCGTCTTAGTGGTGAGAATCCAAAACAACGTGGTCCCGAGATCATAATCTACTTTGAAATCACTTGTAATGTCGTCCGTGACACGATGCGCTATAGAGATGAGTGTATCGCTCAGACGGTCAATTTGAAGTACTATATTGTATGACTGGTATAATACTACAAGTATGTCTGATGGGTGCAGCAGACCTTTCCTGACTTTTTCGAACTAAGTACGATATTCACTAATAGATTATTGTACCCAGCATATATATACAGTACTCTATTACTATTAACGCGCTTTTAAGCTGACACTCTCTTTAGTTGGAGCCGAAGAGAGGACCAGGTTGAGGTAGTTGGAATACTTCAGGATCGTGACATCACTGCGACGTGCGTATGTTCGATACGCCAGCCCTGTGTCATAGTCACAGATTTTCGCTCCAGACAAATAGCAGGAGCAATTGCTATCATCAAAAGCAATCTACAAACAACAAAGCGCGACAACACACCGGAACGCATTACAAGCAAAGGCGACTATTTGACATTTAAACTCGGTTTTCTCAAGTGCCACAGTCAATTCTTTGCTACTACGTTCACATAGTGTCGCGATCAATCCGAAGAGCTGGCGCCAGCATCTTTGAGTCGGGAATAGTCCAAGTGAAGCAGTAACCGAACGTTCGGTCACTACTTTAAAGTCAGGCACCAAACCGCGCAGCAAGTGGAATCCGATCCGTGCGTCTTATCCTTCTCGCAAGCAGTACTTGCTTGTTGGATGCTGGCCGGCTGCTTTCCTTTGCACGTAGGTGTATCGTGGCAAAACGAGGTCTGGTCATCGGCCGAAATGGAGACGGTAGCAGCGATGGATACAGCGGCAGCGATAGTGATGAAGACGCTGGTCTTGACGTTCATATTTGCGCGAGCCTGTGTCTTGGTGCGGTGTGCTAGATTTGGTAATAAACGAAATGAGAGTTGTGGCGACGATGCTTCCGAGACAGAGGGATGGAAGCACGTCGACTAATGTCGACAGGATGGCGAGAATCTATACAGCTTGTACACTTGTGAGGTAGTGCACTATCCATCTCATACAGCCCGTACAGTTGTGAGGTAGTGCACTATCCAATCCATACAGCCCGTGCACCTGTGAGGTAGTGCACTATCCAATTTATACAACCCGAAGATAAATCATCTTGACGAAAAATACTCCCAAGTTTTTCAAGGTTCAGCTCAAGCCAGTCTTTTCTTACCCCTTTAGGGGCGGCCACTTGGGAGGGAATCCTCCGCATGGGAGCCGGAGGGGTCTAGGGTTGGCCTCGAGCAAGCTGCACTCGCAGTCTCAGGTGTGGACGCAGTGGACCGACGGGTCGCGCAAGCGGCCGGCGGGAGCCACCATCGCAGATGGATGAGCTCCTCGGGGAGATACTACGACGGGTTGGCGTTCCCTACGCCTCGTGGTTACTTTAATGGCTACACTCTACGTCGATGGGCCGCGCACGGAGGCCCACCAACGCGGATGGACCGGCTTCTAAGGTTTAAAATACAGCGGGTAGGCGTCCTCCCGCCATCGTTATCGCCTCGACGATAGCGACATCCAGCCCGGATGGTCGCTTTAGCGGCCACAAATGAGCCTGTACCTGATTTTAGTGGCATTCTCCCGGCGCGTAAGGTAACCTCGGTTTCTCGCGCTATAGGTCGGCTGGCCGCGCTAAGCGGTCACCGATTCGGTTTAAGCGCCTTTATGGACGTCTTGATATCTTCTGCTGCACTGAGAGCGCTTGAAAGATAGGCTCGAATCTGGCTTGGGTTGGATGTCTCTGACCTTCGCTACCCTCGCCCCCGGCCTTCGGAGCACCGACGTTGTGGATCCGGTTTTGGATCACACTTCCTGGAATATTCAGTCGTTAGTTATTCGTGAATCATGGACGTACTTGACACCACCTAGGTGAGATTAGCCGCGTCATCGTTCGCCAATAGGAGCGCATCAATAGTGGCTTCTGGTCAGCCCTAGAGTTCCATGAATTGTCGTACAGCACGATGCCACCCACCGATTTGAACATCGCGAGTGGCATTATCTTGGCCCTTACGCCTTTGGTGTAGTAATCCCAGCCCTCACCGCATTCGTTTGTCGATTAGTATCTCGAAAAGTCCTGAGATCGCAATGTAGAAGCGACGTGTGATTGCGTCTGAGCTGTGCATCAACAACACACGCCCGAGACGAGTCTACGAAGTCTTAATCATAGATGTAACCCGAAGGGTAGTCAGCTTTTACGGATTAACGCTTGAGTCTGCTCTGGCTTTGGCTCCTCATTGTGGATAGCTCCCTTAAGCCATCGCAGGCCAAGTCCGAAAAGACAAACTCGCAGTCGATTGGGGTGAAAATGCGGCTCGAGGCGTTCCATGCCACGTGATGTCGCTTCGTCGGTTGCAATGTAATTCAATGGACCACAAAGGCAGCAACTGTGGAGGGTAGCATCTCTTTTAGAGAAGTTGGTATACTATAAGTCGCTACTTCGGCAACACGCATCTTAGTATCTTGGTTAGCGTTGAAGTGGATGATCAAGGTCCGAGAAAATGTTTCCTTGTACATCGAACAGCATCGCAGCATGCGGCGAGTCACGTCGTGTAATCACTGGGTGCATTTATTCCCACAAACCGCAAGAGCTTGCTCGCATGGTCGATTCGGGACCATCAGCTGGAACTTGAGGAGCTGGTGGGTCACTAGCTGACCAGCAGGACCAGGGGAGCCACAAAATCATACAATTCAAGTGGCACTAGCTGTATATCATCTTCTTTATGTGCAATGGAAGTGTTTGCAAGAGCGCAACGTTGAATTACATCAGCCGCCAGCAATAGGCGCCACTGATGTGTCGGAACATGGCACTTTGATAATCCGACAAATCTTATGCACGTCCTACAAGCATGCAGTGCAACGTAGGCATTCAGCACGTTTTCCTTCTACCAGTCCCATGATGAATGTGGCAGTCCTTCACGCTCGAATTGGACAACGTTACCACACTTGGCACGCATGCTAAAAATTATCACTGTGTTTCCACCAAGTATTGCGAGACTCGATCTAAATACGTGGCTGACGCCAAAGCCTGTTGCTAAGGGGTGGGTGGGTGCATGCACCCCAAATAGGGGCCCCATGATGCTTCTCGCGAGACGAGTTCAATGCAGCATGAGCTCGGACCTGAGAACTACAACCTACAAGCGTAAACAAGCCTCGACAGCTCAAACCAATTAGAGAATCATACTTTTACTATTGCTCTTATCAGACGCTCAGTGGTAGGTCTTCGCAATAGGCTCATACAGCGGTAAGTGAGCCGGCAGCGACGTTGCAGCACGTGCGCTCACCCATTAGATAGCGCATCTTTCCGAGCTGCGCAGTCAATCATTTTCTTCCACTTTACCACATCATAAATTATCGTCAGTAAACCATTCTGTGTGCGTAAGAGCACCTGCAGCGCGTGGATGCTTAGGTGCTACATCCTGTTCAAACACTTCCATCATTTCCACATCGCTAGGCACGTCGAGTACCTCAGGCGAGCAACTCGAGTCCATACTGGACATCCCGTGTCTACGAGCACCAAGCCTTCCCTTCGAATCCACTGGCTCCAATAGAAGATCCAGCTCGTGCTCTTTCTTCTCCTGTGCAATTGTCGCGTCAAACTCTGCGACATAGCGACAGTGTGTCTGGTACCACTGCCGTTTCTCTGCAGTCGACAACTTGTTAAACTCATGCGGCGTCAGCGTCAAATACGCTTCGCTCTTGTTCCCGCAGGGGGACGATGTCGGTGGTCGGAAAACCACCAGCTCATTTCCTTGTGGATTCGTTGTCGCTCCTACTTGGGGAGTTACCGTCACGTAATGACGGTACATCCGGTCAAAAGGTCGACGTCTGTCGCTACAGTGAGCAGCAAAGAAACCACGCAGTCTCCCAACCCCAGCAACCACCGTGGCATTCTCCAAAGTAGCCATTGCGCTGTCGCAATGGCTACCACTGTCGTCAAAAGACGACGCCTCCTCTTGTCCAAGATCTCCCTGAAGCTCCACAAATGTAGCACTCTCTGCAGTATCCCTGTATTGCTGCGTGTCTTTCCTTTCCCCGTCCCCTTCCGTTATACTTTTGCATTGGTTCCTCGTGCCCTTTCTGTCCAGAACTTGGTCCCGAAGGCACATACTGTCCAATTGTTCAGCTAAGGTCCGTTGTCTCTTGTGAGACTTGGAGCTACGGCCAAGTGAGGAGTGGAACGTGGAGGTCCGAAGTAACGATGGCATCAAGTAGTCACTCTGATGCTTTTGTTCAAAGTAATTGTACGACTTTTGCCGCATGGTACAAGAATCCAACTCCTCAATTTCCACGTCTGAAGACCCCTCACGTCGTCGACGGATCCCCTGACGAGAGGCAGGAGCGACAGGAGACGTGAGAGCTTCAGTACGTGAGGAGGAGAAGGAGGAGGACATGGGCGACTGTCCGCTTGCGTTCTTTGCCATGCTCGTGGTCGAGGGTCTACTGAGTAGCGCTGTGCTTGCTTGGTCGAATGATGTCGGGAAGTTTGGACTGTTAGGGTCAATTTTGGACGCACTGTGACGTTGGGGAGAGGTACCACTGTACGCACTGTGACGAGCCCAGTAGCTCCTGGGTCTGCTTCCGTCCTCTCGACTTTTCGAGATTTTGCTTCTCGATTTTCGTGGTCATTGTCGATATTAAGTGCGACATTACCGTCGGTCATGGCAAGATAAAGCGCGTTTCTTGCAAAGGGTTGATCGATTGTGCTTCAACGCAGTTTATCGTATTTTAGTCGACTGTTGAAGTGTAACGAATTGCCTTACTTGCGCTGTAGAGGACCTGACAGTTAACATTGATGACATTGCGGAAACGCTGGTGAAAGCTAGCCAAAGTACACTAGAGCCCCTTTATTTGATATGGCTGGGACCGCCAAATGTTGAAAAAATAACGAAACTATTAAATGGCAAAGTTAAGGGGATAGGGTTGAAGCGAAGGGTGCTGCACGTATTAGTAAGCGTAACCGCACCGCCCGTCCCTCTTCGGAATGCTGCATCGATGCTTGCAGAGCTCAAGAAGGTCTGGTTGCAGCAGGAGAGTGGAGAAGCGTTCTCAGGATAATTTAGAAGATGCAGGATCCGGTATGAAATCTTCAGCTCAAAAATTCTTAAGCAACAAACTCTGGATAATTTTAGTAGTGGTCCCCTGGCAGTAGTTTAATATTCGTATGATGGACATTTCTCTCGCTTCAATAAAAAACAAGAAAGATTTAATACTTGGCCTGCGCCCAACATGAAACTCGACATTTTTATTTACTAAGTGAGATTTTAACTTGAAGATTACAATATTACGGAAACTCTACTGTATTCCCTAGCGTAACTTTTGTGAAAAGGTGACTGGGTTGGACTTTGCATGCTACAGAGTGAGTTCTGTCAAGTACAGTATGTCTTACACTATTGTAATGTACGACGTCTCGTCCGAGCTTTGTGTATGTATTCATGGAACCATTCAGTACGACCCAGTGTATAACTCAATAGGTAGCTGAGCCTGTGACACGCACTCTTCGTCTAGACACAAGGTACATCCGATCGTTCTGACATCGTGTATACACCTTGTCACGTAATTGATTCATGTAAAAGTCATGGCAGTAATTTCTTAAAGCCCTTTTCGATCCAGATGTACTTGCATTATAATCCTCTTGCCCACTGTAAAATCCAGACATTCATCGTCCGTAACACTGAGCCTGCTCGGACGTACCTAGTAAGCATTTCCAAGGTAAATAATGCTGTTCACAGATGCGGTTCTTTCCAATATCACACGAAGCATGATGCAGGATTATGTGGGAAACGATCTTCTGGCTAGGAAAATGTCGGTCATTAATATAACCAAATCGTTAAAATTCTCGTGAGTCGGAAGCACGTTTATGGATGACGGCCTGGTCTGCATAAAGTGAATGGCAATGACGTGTGGATCCAGCGTATCGTCCGACCGGTTAATAGAGTGATTAAATGACGAGGTTGGCAGGAGTCAACATACGTTTAGGTTTTTGTGGGTACCTTTTCTCTTCGTACTGCACGCACATTGATACATGGTTAGCGTATACGCCAAACGAAAATGACTTATTCTTTACCACAAACAAATCACGCTGCAATACTTCTTTGTAATTGACCTGTTCTGTAGCGGAGCTACACAGCTCCTTAAGTCAGAGGAAGACTTAACGCTCTACGAGCAGCTTAGTTCTAAAGAACTAACGACTTTACGAGTCAACAAGCTTTATAGCTTCAGATCCCTGTTCCAGGGGACCTAACGATTCAGTGAATCGACAGCACTTAGTGCTCAAGAGTAGCTACCTCAGGGAGGTGTCGCTAACTCTTAGTGATCAGAGATCAACGATCAAGACGGCTCGCAAGCCACGTGTCTTTCAGATCAAAATGGGAACTGATTTTATTTTTGTTAAAGCCTATAGAATATCTTCATCCTACTCAAAGATCTTTCGTATCTAATGGCTGACACTCGTCAGCCCCTACAAACCGATAAGATATTCTATATCACCTTCGCAGAAGCGAACCCTCAGATGTGTAACACCTCTGGTACAAAGTACCGTGATTTCGTGCAACCCCGTTACACCCTCCCCCCACCAGACTGACGTTTGCCAAAACGTCAATCGAACTCGTGTTCTCAGCGAGAACAGTGCGCGTACGGTGAACCTCACGGTAACGTACGCTCCAGCACGATGTCCTCATCACCAAACGAGTCAAAGGCTCTGTGTGACTACCTCGGAATAGAGGAAGAGGTGGACTATGGTAGCGATACCAGTGTCCGCGGTGACACAGGGACAACGTCCGGCTCACTGATGCCTGAGGCACAACTTTCGAACACACCAAATCCGTTCGCTGAACGTGGAGGTGCGAGCGCGCCGTCAGCGCAGCATGCAGCATCTATTTCTGATGAAACTATCATCGCGAACCCGCTCGATGAGCAACAACAACTGCTTGTTCAAAGAGAAGAAAACGCTCAGCGTTATGCACAGATGACTGCAACCCTTGAACGCCAGCGTGACTATGCGTTCACCCCACCCAGTGTGGAGGAACGTCTGCGTCAAGCGGCCGGCCAAACATTGGCAACGTGGGTCATTGGCCATGGGCCTAAGACTCCTGAGGAGGTGGTGAGCTGCCAGGCACTTCGTGAGAGGTACTTGGAGCCGCACCTAACGACTCAAAGTCAATACAAGGCACGCCTTGACATGCAAGCACGTGGTGCACCAGTTCCACCGATGAAGGGTATACCCATTCTCCTGCTCGCAGGCGAAACAGCGAGTGAAGAAGACGATGCCTTTGTTCACTGGGTGCACTATGTGCGTCGCCTCAGCAACATTTTTGCTCTAAGGGCTAGTGCCCATGCGGCGGATGTGCGTCTCGAACGCAAGCTTCGGTATGATTATGCCAAGCTAAAGGCCAGAGGCCAATTGCGCAAGCGCACGCGCTATGCTTCGGCTACTAAGGTAGCCGCGAGTGCTGGTCAGTCTGTGGCCAACAACCCGCCAACCCGCACCACTAGTGGTGGTGAACGGCCTCGGCCTCGAGCTGACCTTGGCCACGATGCTCAAAAGCCTCCAAAGCATATGGGCAGTCTTGCCGAAGGGGTACCTCAAATTCCCATGAGTTTTCAGACTCAGGGTACCCACGCCACTTTACCAGATACTGGTATTGGCCCTGACGACGACGTCGTTTCAGTAGTCTCTCGACATGGAATTGACGACACCCATGCTCATCGAGCAAAGTCGGTGGCGGCCGGTGCACCGGTGGAGGCCCACGAGAAATTGGTTCTCGAAGTGAAGGGTCTTCAAGAGGCCTTGGGTAAGTCCCAGTGCATGCTGGATGCGATGCAACGCCGCCTTCAGGCGATGGAGCAAGCTCAAACTCGGAGCGAGGCTCAGTTGGACTTGCTGATTCGTCTACAGCAATCCGGGGCAGTGCCCTTGTCGTCGGCGCAAGCGCCTCCAAGTTCACATGGGAAGGATCCCGGTACGGCTTAAGTAAGCCTACGTAGAACACTGGATGTGTGCGCAATTTGCGCGGGAGGTTTAGCGTATACGCAAGTCCCTTCTTGGCCGTGACCGTAAACGGTCCAATAAAGCGTGGACGCAACTTTGTCTTAAAGACAGCAGACACTACATTTGTAGGTAGATTTTTAGCATTGAGTAGTACTTGGTCTCCGACCTCATAACGTTCAATACAATTTCTGCCTTTGGCATCAGCTTGTTGTTTTTGGGTATCTTGGCTATCAGCCATTGCGTCACGCACATGTCTTAAGACATTTAATCGCGTTGCGAGAAACTCGCCTACCTGTTTTTGAACAGTAGCAGGGCTGATATCAGCAAGCCGATCGGCAACCTCTCCCCCACCAAGCCCTGAATCACGTAGTGATAGCGTTAACGGAACGCGAGGGTGAGTGAGACCGTTTATATAGAACGGAGTAAAGCCTGTTGAGGCATGCACAGCGTTATTTAACGCAAACTCAACAACAGGGAGCATTGAGCTCCAACGCCTAGGCGTATCAGCGCAAACACTGCGCAAAATGTCGTTAATGACGCGGTTTACACGCTCAGTTTGACCGTCGGTCTGCGGATGATCCGCTGTGGACATGTCCAACCGAGTGCCAAGCACCTTGAAGATAGACTTCCAAAACTTCCCAGTGAAGCGGGGGTCTCTGTCAGAGATAATTGCCACAGGCAAGCCATGTTGGCGAAAGACACGGTCGATAAACAGCTTTGCTGTACCTTCCGCATCAATGCTATCCGGCACAGCCGCTAAGTGAGCCATCTTGCTCAATCGGTCAACAAAGACCACAATACCAGTGTTGCCTTCCGAATCTTTCGGTAGACCAAACACAAAATCCATGCTCATGGACTCCCAACAACCAGTGGGAACAGGCAAACTAGCCAGCGGCGCCGCCGCATGTGCCGAGGGTTTTACCCGTTGACACGTTTCCGCACGTACGCACATAGGTGCGCACCCACTTATAAAGTTTGGTCCACCAATAATTTTGGCTCACCGAGCTATAAGTCTTCTCACGACCGAGATGACCACTTAAAGCAGTATCATGTGCCTCATAGAGGATCCGATACTTTAATTCCTCATCATGAGGTACTACGATACGAGGGTTGTCCTCAATATCCGTGCGATAGCACAACAGGCCATTATCAATGGAATATCGATGTAGCCTCGCACGTAAACGTGCCGACAATTCTATGTCCGAGTCTTTAAACTCATTGCTCCCAAGAGCTCGTAGCAAAGCTACACACTGATCGTCCTTGGCATATGCCGCACGAATTAAGTCAGGGACTGACGACGACAGGGTCGTAACATGAGCAAGCTCATAGTCAGGTCGACGCGATAGCGCATCAGCCAAAGCGTTTTGCTTACCTGGCTTGTACTTCACCTCGAAGTTGTATTCGGCAAAGAAAGAAAGCCAACGAGCCATTCTC